TTAGAACAAGGCCATAGTAAATACTGGCAAATAATGAAAAAGGGGAATAAATTTTGTAATTTATCAACAACATTAACTTTGAGATCTACAATGAATACTATAATTCTGGTAAGTCTCTTATTTATTCTGGGTGCTTCAATATTGTGGTGGGAACTCCTGTGTTTACCATGGTTGTTCCCACTCACCTTTTCATTCAAGAAACAAAAATGTTGTTTGCAGCTGTACAAACTAACAGGTTACCTATGCACTTACAGATCAGTTACTCTGCCTTCACATACCAGGAAAGTCTCGGATTTCAGAGTCCTTTGAACATATGCTGCTAGGGGTACTTTCCATCTCAGGCCCTCAGGGAAGTTGTTTACAGCACATTGTACTCATTTTCTTTCTTGGAAGTTCTGACCTAAATTCTTTTCCACAAACCACCTTCCCGGCTGATTGTGCTTCATTCTAGTGAATAATGCATGTTGTCCTCCCTGGCATGTCAGACAGCATTTGCATCAAGATTCTTAGCGGTTCAGAATAGGTCTCCTTTCCCTCTGATTTCTTTTCTCTCTTCTGTAGTTTGCGTGCTTCTCTCAGATTTTAAAGGAAAGCTTGTGTCTTCCAAGTGGAACAAAAACAACAACAACCCAAAAAACTATTCTCAGGGATCATTCAATTCTCCTTAAAGGGAATCTCATATTTTATATAACAGAGATTCTATTTGCAGCAGGCTTGCACATTTAATAGTTTATGAGATTTGCTCCATAATTAAAGATGCAAATTAGCGACCCCCTTCTGGGTCTTCCTTTTCAGCACTCTGCACAACTTACAAATTTTGCATCACTTCTCAGCCCTATGCTGCTGTACCTGAAATAAACTTTAGACAGACATTGGTCTTAGATAGACATTCATTAGCCTCAGTATCCCCAGCCAAAGGAAACAGCTGCTGGGAGGACAGTTTACATTTCACTTGTGGAGTCCACAGTTCAGTTATGGACTGTGGCTTGCCATTATAACATCCCCTGGGCCTGCTTGACCATACCCCAAACTTTTCCTATCGCCGTGGCCCTTTCTTGTGCCAATTCTGCTTGCCTGGTTAATTATGACTCTTGCTGAGACCTGGTCCTCCAGTTGCCCTAGCTCTGATGAACCTACCTAGCAGCTGCATATTAACCTGGTAAGATCAGGTATGATTCAAAGACAACCTTGCATGTTAGTCCTTATGTAGGTAAGGAAATAAGTAAGATCCTGTATTGAGTTAGATCAGGCTTCCTCAACCTCGGCCCTCCAGATGTTTTTGGCCTACAACTCCCATGATCCCTAGTTAGCAGGACCAGTGGTCAGGGATGATGGGAATTGTAGTCTCAAAACATCTGGAGGGCTGAGGTTGAGGAAACCTGAGTTAGATGCTGCTATTTATTGCTGTTGTTTTTCTGCTGCTATTTTTATTATTATTGGTGATGATGATAATGAGGCAACATAAAATTCTGTCTCATATTGCTGCTTTTATCTTTTATAATGCTTCGGTTTTATGAAACATTGTCCTTTATACTCATGGAAGCTGCTAATTGCGAATAGCTGGAAGGCGTTTTTTTAAACATGAAATTTCTTTATTAATAATGTATATTCCCAAAACTAAGTAAGACCTCATACATTTGAATAAATAATCAAGTCTTCAAAAAGGGAAGCTCAGAGGATCCTGCTGCAGCGGTATGTTATCCAAAAAACACTTTTACCTTTGTGAGGCCACAGAACCAACAGGTGTTAATGGATTGCCTTTCTTTGCTAATGCCTAAAGGTATTCTGTGAAGAGAGCAACAGATTTTATCATATTTCCATGATTATTTCACTTAGATGCGTCATATTCCCCAAAGCTGAATCACAGGCTACTGCAGCCCTCTGACAAACTGATATATCCCAGCATTGACACAATGGATATTGATTGAATGAATTTATATACTGTTCTATACCTAGAGGTCTCAGGACGGTTCACAGAATAAAATCAAAATATAAAACCACAAAATACATAATAAAAATAAAAACAACGCAACGCCGCCCCCCCCAAATCCATTTTAAAAGGGTGAAGGATGTCCTCCTGAAAGGACTGCCATAAGGAAAAACCACAAAACAAGCCAGACTGATTTGAATAGCTGGAAAATCTTCAGAGATCAAGACCTATTTCGTATGTGCTGTAAAAACCTATTCATGTTTTAAAATGTCATAAGCAGTTTCATATCTTCTAGAGAAAGTCTCATGTATGAACTGGAACAGAAGCTGGACTCCTACATTTACTTCCTAATGAAGTACTGTATTTTTTGCTCTATAAGACGCACCGGACCACAAGACGCACCTAGTTTTTGGAGGAGGAAAACAAGAAAAAAAATATTCTGAATCTCAGAAGCCAGAACAGCAAGAGGGATTGCTGCACAGTGAAAGCAGCAATCCCTTTTGCTGTTCTGGCTTCTGGGATAGCTGTGCAGCCTGCATTCGCTCCATAAGACGCACACACATTTCCCCTTACTTTTTAGGAGGGCAAAAGTGAGTCTTATAGAGCAAAAAATACGGTAAATTCATTTCTGCTCTAGACCTGTCATTCTGGGAGTCACCAGAGAGAAAACTTCATTAGCCTTTGGTTCTACAGAGCCAGAGAGATTACAGTTAAGTGTTGTAACAGATTGAAACCCAGAGGTAATAGCACCATCATCTGAATTCACCAATGAAGTGAATGATATTCTCAGAGAATATATTTGCTTGAAGAAGACAGTATACCTGAAAGAGCGTCTCCACCCCCATCGTTCAGCCTTAATATTATTATTATAGTTCTGCAGAGCCATTAAAGCATAAGGAAGGCTTTACTAGCCTAGTGCTATCCAGATGATTTGGAAAATAACTTCCACCAGCTCTAACCAGCATGACTGATGGGAGCCATAGAACGGCACTAGGATGAGAAAGGCTGTCGTAAGGTCATGTGACCAGCAATATAGTGTACTGACTGCCACAGTGTTTAGACTCCACCTTCTTCCCAAAACCAGATGCGGCTGCACCATTTCACTGAATCGTGGAGTCTTTCTTCTAGACCTGTTTGCTTGATCAACCACATGGATACCTTAGACATACAAAATGGGAAACATTTCAAACTTTTCCCCTGTTGAACACTGTAAGGAGGAAATTGTCATAAGCAGAACTGAATGCCCTGAGCTTGTTGGACTCTTAAAGAAAGTTTGCATTGCCTCCTTACCAATCCTGTACAGTCTGATATTCTGTATATTAAAAAGTTTCACAAAGACATGATACAGCTCCAGTTTTGCCCTTGTGGGAAGTTTCTGCTAGAAAAAAATGCCCTTAATTTTCTGCTGCTCAGAGAAAGGAAAGTGTGGAAGGGCCATAGCTCAGTGGCACAGCACATGCTTCGCACATGAAGGGTCCTTGGTTTAATCACTGGCATTTCCAGATAGGGCTGGGAGAGACTCCTGTCTAAAACCCCAAAGAGCCACCCACAAAATACCAGATTAGATGGGCCCATGGTCTGACTCAGTGTAAGACAGCTTCCTATGTTCCTATATCGCAGCATTTCATTCTGACATTCCCATAAAGAGTAACATACAATTCCAGGCAACTGCCATAATATCAGGACTTGTATTTGGGAACCTCTTGATCATAAACATCTTAGCAAACTGAAGGCCTTGAGACTTCTACAGAGCCCTCACTGGACTGTCCCAGGAAGCAGCCCCTCCTCTGTGGAGATCATCCCCAAGCGATGAAAGAAGCACCCCACCCCTAGGTCACATCCACATCATGCATTTAGGAAACATTTAAAGCACACAGCTTCTTCCTAAGAAACCTAGGACTGGTAGTTAAGGATGCTGGGAACTGTAGCTCTGTGAGGGGCAACCTACAGTTCCTAGAACACGCTGGGAGTAGCCATGTGCTTTAACTTTATTCCTGTGAATGTCCCTTACTTTATCCTCAAATACCAGCAACTCCATTCCAGAGATTCCTTCTTAGCCACCTAATTCCCAAGATAGCTTTCTTGGCCGCCACATTCCCAAGAAATATGGGACTAGTGCACTAGTCAGGACCAGAGGATTAACAGAGAGCTGATAGTCTCCAGGAAGGTGCACCAAAGGCCACACACCTCCCTGTAACAGTGTTCATCCCTCTATAAACTACTGACCAGACATGGACCTATATTTAAGGTTATCGTAGCTTGTTGCCAGTTGCTCCATGATCTGTCCTTGGTCCTGATGACTTGCTCTTGGGATAGTAACTGACTCATACCGGCTTCCCACTAAATGAGAACCTCCTTGTTCCGTTTTAGACTGGCAGTATGGTCTGCTGCTCTGCCTGTCCTCTTAGTGGCATCTCCCTGCAGGCCTTGCGCTTAAACAGGAGAACAAGCAGACACCTCCCCATATTTTCATAGAATTGATTCAGGAGCACAGCCACCACAGCATTGCCCTGTGTTTACATTGCAATTGTTATAACAACTACAGTGGTACCTCGGGTTACATACACTTCAGGTTACAGACTCCGCTAACCCAGAAATAGTGCTTCAGGTTAAGAACTTTGCTTCAGGATGAGAACAGAAATCGGGCTCCGGCGGCGATTAAGTACTTAACCCGAGGTACCAATGTACAGTGCACATATACTCATTCTACCCAGCTGCAAGCTTTTTTGATTATGAAGGGAAACAAGCATCTAGATTGCACTAACAGCAGATGAGGTTGAAAATCTGGTTCTGGACTGTACCATTGCAGGCAGGCACTCATATGACCGAATGTTCTTTTGTTTGTTTTATTTTATTTTAAAGTCCTTGAAATAGAAACGTAAATGTCAGCGAGAAGTCTAGGTTAGATTCAATGACATCTAGTTTTCTTTGTGCAAGGTTTCTGTGTGACTGCAAAACCACTCTACTGTGAACACATAAGTGATTAGAATATGAAATGTATATAATCATTCCTTTTAAGCAAAGACCTACCACTTGGTCCATGATACTTAGTGAAGAAAAAGATTGGAGATTAGAACTCTTCTTTATGACATGTTGATGTGACATGGCACTGGGGATGCTTTTTATCTCTAATTTCAAGTAGCTGGAATAGAGAGATTACAGTGGTAAATTTCTAGTTCAGACTGGTCAGTCACCTACAAAACAGAACACAGCAGCTGCTAATCAACAAGATCAGGCCTCTAACAACTGCATAATTTCATATTGGAGTAACTGGGCAACATTTTTCAGAACTTGAATAGCTGGGTTTTAGTTGCAGCGAAGGGTATAGCACGAGAGTGTCAGTTCAGCAAAACAGATGGCCTGTAGTGAAGGTAAAATTTCATTTAAACAGCCAAATACTTTTCTAAGAGTAAATTACTTGGGAGTGCAGGCACCCATGGAAGTCTCTACCCAAATCCTACTGAAACAACTTGCATGAAGGAACTGAGGGGATGCTCATCAAATGTGCAGATGATGCCAAACTGGGAGGGATACCTAATGCAGCAGAAGCCAGAATCGGGATTCAAAATAACCTTAACAGATTGAAGAACTGAGCCCAACCTAACAAAATGCATTTCAATAAGGGCAAATATAAGGTTCTGTACTTAGGCAGGGAGAACCAGCTGCACTAATATAAGATGGGGAACACCTGGCTTGCCAGAAGTATATGTGAAAGTCTATGGATCTTTGTAGACCACAAGCTTAATGTGAGTCAACAGTGTGATACAGCAACAAAAAAGGCTAATGCTATTCTAGGCTGCATCAACAGAAATCAAGGGAAGTAATAGTACCTCTCTATTCTGCCTTAATCAGATCACACCTGGAGTACTGTGTCCAGTTCTGGGCACTACAATTTAAGAAGGACACGGGCAACCTGGAACTTGTGCAGAGGAGGGCAACCAAGATGATCAAGGGTCTGGAAACCAAGCCTTATGAGGAACAGTTGAGGGAGTTGGGTATGTTTAGGCCTGGTAAAGAGGAGACTGAGAGGCAATATGATAGCCATCTTCAAATATCTCAAGTAATGTCACAGGGAAGATGGAGCAAGCTTGTTTACTCCTGCTCTGGAGGGCAGAACTTGAACCAATGGCTTCCAGTTACAAGAAACTAAATATCTGGGAGAACTTTCTGATTGTAAGAGCTTCTTTTGACAGTGGAATGGCCTCCCTTGGAAGGTGGTGAGCTCTCCATTGTGGGATTTAAAGCAGGGGTTGGATGGCCATCTGTCATGGATGCTTTAGCTGAGATTCCCATATTGCAGGTGGTTGGACTGGATAACCCTTGGGAACCCTTCCAACCCTACAATTCTATGAGTTTATGAAATGACTGGAAGCTACACAAGAGCACATCTCCCTTTTGCTTGTGTCTCCCAGCTTTGCTGAGAGTGTGTTAAAAATATATTATGCCACATAGGAATATTGAGTCCAAGTGAGTTTCTCTGGCCTTTATGAAGAGCTATAGATATAGCACTGAATTGCAGCACAGACATAACAGACCAGAGATCTTCTCCTGGTTCCTGTACAGTATTTCATAAGAAGAGCCCTACTGGACCAGGTCAGTGGCCTATCTAACTCAGCATCCTGTTTTCATAGGGGCCAGCCCAGATACCCAAGGAAAACCCGCAGGCAGGACTTGAGTGCAACAGCATTCTCCCTACCTGCGACCTCCAGCAACCGGTATTCAGAGCCGTGCTGCCTCTGACAGCGGAGGCAGAACATAGACATTGTGGCCAGCAGCCAGCATCGGATTTTGGGCAGTGCGGGCAGTTCCCCTGTGCAGGGTCCCAAAACGAAGGGGGCAAAACTGAGAAGAGCCATAACTGAGAAGATCCATTTTGGCCTCGCTTAGGGCACTTTTACCGAAGATGACGAAAGCCCATGGGCGTAGCCAAGGGAGGGGGCGGAGGGAGCAGCTGCCCCCCATAATCAATAAAAATCTAAAATCAATACAAATCTGAGTTTCTCTTCCCCCCTAACAAAAATCCTGGTTATGCCCATGCCAAATTCCACCCTCTCCAGTAGCCATAGATAACCTTATCCCCCAGGACTCCTAGCAGCAGGTGGGGAGGTACCAGGTAATGCATGTATTTATCCCATACATCCCTGGGTCACTATGAGAACAGGATAGATGGCAGGCAGCTCCGGGGCATGTTGGCCAAGGGAGGATTCGTCTCTCTTCCCACATCGTCTCCAGCACACCGCAAGCCTTGGCATGGTTGACTCACAGGCGGGTCACGTACAGGCCCATCCTCTGGCCTCGGGACTCCCGGAGATTCTGGGCCTCTTGCCGGTTGCCGGACGGAAGGAACGCGCCGCCTGCAAATCTGCCGGGTAAATTATTCAAAGCAAGCGGATGTAGCTGACAAAGGACTCGAAGGAGAAGAAGTAACCCTTCGCGGGCTGCGCCTCGCCAAGCCAATCCGGGCAGCGGCGGCGAACGAGTGGGCCGGAGCGGCGGGGGCGCTTTCGGGCGGCGGAAGAGAGCCGGGCCCCGCCCGCGAAGGAGACCCGGCGGCGGAGGCGCCCGCCCGCCTTCGCTCCCCCCGCGCCGCGCCCCCTCCTCTTGCAGGCGCGGCAGCGGAAGGGTTAAGCGAGGGGGCGGGGGCAGGAGAGGGAGCATGTGCAGTCGGGCCCCGCAGCCGCGCTATGGGTCCCTCTTCGCTGGCACACTGGGTCTGCAGCTGCCGCGGCGGCGGCGGCGGCACAAGCAGCAGCAGCCGGCGCAGCCGGAGGAAGAGGAGGAAGAGCAGCCGGCGCCGCGACGCTTCCATGGAGGCGAGCGCCGAGAGGCGGAGCTGAGCCCAGCCCAGCCGCGTCCCGGATCGCCGCCAAGCACCTGCGCCGGGGCCTCCTCGCCCACCTCCCTCCCCGCCGCCGCCGCCGCCCGGGTAGGTGCATCCGCAGAGGCCTCTTCCGCCTCTTCCCGCGACAGGGGCGCGCCGAGGTGGCGGGGCGGCCGAGGGAGGAGATCCCACCGCCCGCCCGCCTCGGGGTTTCCGAGGGAACTCCGTCTCCGGGGAGTCCCTCGCGGATGGAGGCAGCGCAGACGGGCGGGAGGCGCTGCTGGGCGGGCGCTGCTTGGTGCCGCAAGAGCCGCATCCTGGCGGGCTTCTCTCACGCGCCGGGTCCGGCTGCCGGAGCGCTCGCCGGCCCCGGACACCTTCCTGCCTCGGCCGGGGATGCTGCCCGTCCGGGGAAGGATGCGCAGCAGCCCGAAAGCGGGGTGGCCTGGGGAGCTAGTCGGGATTGGCTCCGGGGCTGCGCTGGGCGCGCTTTCGGCTCGCAGGGGATCCCGAGTCCCGAGCGCGTCTTCCGCAGTCCCGGAAGGGACGGGGTGGGGGAAGGGAGGTGTCTCCCTGCTTAGAGCTCTTCTCCAGCCCAGGGCGCTTCCCTACCTTGGCGTTGCATTTCTTGCTCTCCTCCTCTTTGCTCTCCGTCCTCACCCAGCACTCCGGTCCCCCTTGGTTGTGAGCGGCACTTAAGCACATGCTACAGTTCTTGTTCATTACTCGGGCTCCCCCAACCCCCAATCGCGATTCTTCAGAGAACGACCGGGCTATATATTTTCTTCCCGACATGCTGTCCAGCTGTCAAGATGTGATCTTTTCTGTAGTCCTCTTCTTGCCGTCTAACTACTATTTATCGGATTTCATTTGCAAAACGCTGAAAGCCTTTCCTTATGCTCACCATCCCGACTCTATGAAGTGAGCGGCTGTACCATTAGCACCATTTTACAGATGTGAAAACTGAGGCTGAAAGAGGAAATCGAGCCCTTGCCAAGGCCAACCAGTGATAGATAGCGGTGGGTTTGGGACCAAATGATCTCCCAGATCCAAGCCTCACCTGGCTCTCAGTGATGTTTATTTCCTCCTAGCCTCACTATATTCCTACCATCTCCTCAGCCTGCTTTTTGCTTCTGATAACTAGGCTGGCTTGGTTGCCTTTGGAAACCTTCGCCACAATCCACTTGTTGGCCTCTGAAGTGCCATACCAAGTCACATGTTTGTTTTCCCCAGTTACAAACTGAATGTAGTGATTTCTCTGGAGTTTGTCATAGTTCTTTACTTTCTGGCTGTAATTAAGGGCATCTACTGTATCCGTGGTAGACCTGTCTTCTAGGTGCCACTACCAGGGTATTTAGCTAACACACCTCTAGGTAGTAGAGTGCTTCCTACTCAGCCTGAGACTGACTGCATAGGGCTGGAGAACAGGAATTAACTACCGTTGGTGTGTGATATCTGAAACATTAGGTCTTGCTCATAAAACACATGTACATCACTTGATTTCTTTGCACTGGATCACTGTACAGCTGATGACTTGGACTCTACCCTATGAAAGGTGGTAGGTAACCTCATACATTTGTTAAGATGCCACACGGCTCACTGAGGGTTTTGATGCAACAGACTAAGGGCACAATCCTAAGATTAGATCTGGGATCTAATTGAGCTGAGCTAGGATCTCAGCTGGGAACTAGGTGGCTGAGCTAAGGTGGGTGGATCGTTAAGATGCTATTATCCCTTAAAAAGGGACATTCCTAGGCAGAGCTGCGGGGGGGGGGGGAGGGGGGTAGGACCTAGGCTGGATCCTAAGTTTATTCAGCTCAGTCACATTGCTTGATGTGTGTTAAGCCAACAATAATGGTGCTGGAACTCAAACTCTATTTCAAAGGGCTTGTTTCCCCTTCCAGGCTTAGGCTGGCTCAGCCATCAACAGCACAGCTGCTGAATGGAGTTTGGATCTGGGATATTTTATGACAGCTTAATTTAAGTTGGCATAATTTATGCTGGTTTCCCATGTTTAGGACTTCTCCGTTACACACTTACTCTGGTGGAAATTGTACTTTGAGATGATAAAAAGGGATAGGAACCTGCCTGTGGTGATTTCTATATTTGTGATGAAACACAGTGGAAGTCATCAAAGGGATGAGCATACTTGTATTAAGCCCAGCTACTTGAAATAGTAATATCGCATACATTGTTCTCCCATCCCACCCAAATTTAGGACGCTTTCCCACATGAAACTGGTTCAGTTGATTTGAGTAATTCAGATCAATTCAGGATAAACAAAAGGATGTATTCAGAAGTTGAATAGGATAGATGGAGGAAAGGTACATGGTTTGCTTGCTCCTCACTTAATTATCTCTAAAGAGGAAAAAGTCCATCATCTCTCTTGTATCCATAGCTAAATATGTACTAGTTGTCAACAAATGGGTATACCGTTCTGTGCTGCTCTGAAACCAACTATATTGTGTTGCCAGAAATAGCCAGTGTTTTAAAAATAGTACCTATAATCTCTAGCATTCTGAGGACAAAAAGAGAACCTTGGGAAAACTCATGTATGGTTGACTGCCGGACTGCCATTTGAAAGGAGGTGAATTTGCTAACATGAACAGCTGTTGGTGTTATTGAATTCTTGTGAACAATCAGCTTGACAAATGTCAGATAGCAGTAGATTTTCTCAGTACAGAAAAATTATAGTTAGATGGATGTGTACTCAATAAGTTAGATCTGACCTACATAAATATAATCAACAATGCAAATTAACTGTGTGAGTATGTGTGTGTGTATGTGAGATATATATATCACACACACACACACACACACACATATTGCATAATTTATTCTGCTTCTATTAGTCGTGAAAAGTTGTAGGAACTATGCAAGGCACTTAAGCAGAAACCTCCTGACCTCAGGAAATTCATTTTAGACCTCCATTCCATCTGAGATTTTTATTAGGCATTCCCCACACATCTTTAAGCCTATTTTTTATCCCCATAAGGTCTAAAAACTTGCTTTTAGAAAAGATGACTCATGTGTGCAAACATAATGTCACTGGGGAAAAAAATAGGATTGGCCATGAACTGAGATATGATCCATGCATAGCATTTCTGGGCATTTCTGACAATTAGGAAGACTTAATCTCATTAATCTGTTTATTAGCAGCTAGTCTGACCATCTCCAAGGATTTGGAAAAATATGAACTCTCTATATATTTTTCAATGGTACAGAGAACGTGGAGGTCAGGTTTCACGGGCAAACATAAGCAGCAATTTCATGTACTGTATGGTGTGACAAAGAAGGATCGCTTTATTGAACACTGGCTCCCATTCATATCACGTGCTAACAGGAATCCAGCTGGGCAGCTTTGTGATGAGTCTTCTACCATATTGTGCAAAGTTCTGCTTTCTCCCTAATGCTCAAGTTCTTCAACTAATGACTAAACTTTTATGTATGACTCTACATCCTTTTTGGAGGGGGGGAAGTGTACTGCTTTGGTATGGTGGTGGTTTGGTCCGTTTGAACATCAACAGTTTTTTCTTTGAATTTGTAGCTCTTAAAATATTAATGCTATATATATATATCACAAAGCTGATTTGGGGGGGATGCTAAATTTTGTGCCCATTACCAAATTGTATGATTCTGCCCACCCATGTTTATCTGCTCTGTTATTTTAAATAGAACCTGGAGAGGACTAGGGAAATGGCTTGTCGGGCCTTCCTATACCTCCCTGCTGGTGGGGAAACAGAGGTCCCTCAGGCCTCTGCTCCTCCCTGTCCTTCTCCACCCTTTCCCCCTGCTGTAGACTATTTAAGCTCAAGAGCTCCAAGAGCCCTTTATTAGGTCTTGGTGGTAGCAGTGCTCACCCATTTCTGAGTGGCAGCAGCCCGGGTGCCTGTAGGGGAAGGTTGAGGCATTTTGTTAGAAGCCAGTCTGCCCAAAGTGATCCCCTGCAGATCTTCACACATACAGTACTATAATAAACAATTTGTTTCTAGACGAAAGGTTCTGCAAATTTTGCTGGAGAACCTAGTGTGTGCTGGTTAGATCTTGAGAAGTTTCACTTCCTCCTCACTCTCCATCTAAAAAGAGGAAGCCCTTTTGAAGTGATAAAACATTTGTATTTTTTCCCATATTTGGATCCTAATGTCAACGGGTTTTTATGGACTGCAGGAGTAGCTAACGTTGATGGCGTTGCTGTTTATGGTCCATAATACAAGCATTATTCAGAACATATTCCTTGTGGGAATAAAGTTGAGAAACATAGGAAAAATTGGTAAAATTGACAACCCATACATAGATCTGAGTCTACAGTGATGGAGGCAAGTGTATAGTGCCAAGCTGGGGCATGATCCAGCCAAAGCTAAGCATTCTTAAGTCTCATTGATTTCAGTGCCTGTTCTTAGCTTAATTTCGACTGCAGCACGCTTTAAACCAGCTTCTATGACCAGGTTTAAAATGTTGGATTATAAGCCGGTGGATGCATTCTGGGGTAGGGGTTGAAGCCTGAGCATAAGGCTATTTTTTTTAACTAAGAATAGTATCTACTCGGAAGAAACTTGGTTTCGGTGCAACTTGCTTTCCTAGTAAGCATGCATAGAATTAGCTCTTCAGGTGTAAGAAGTTTTCCAGGTCCCAGCTTTCAGAACTTGAGATTCACTTCTGGACATGGGTGGTGTTGGTTATTTTGAATGGCATGTCAAGAGATTTATTTTTATTTTTTGTAGATTGACAAAAAATGGCAGCAAAGAGCTGCAAAACCAGTAGCAGAAACCAAGCTATCCTGAAAACTGTATTAAATGGCAGTATGTAAATACTCATAACCAGTCAATCATTGGTTATATAAATAAAATGCAAAGATTCAAGGAGCAAAGATCTGTGTTCTCCCCTGATGCCAGCTATTTTTGGGGGGTGGGGCATCAGGAGTGAGCAGCTTTTGTTCCTGTGTATTATGATGGGGGGGGTCACCCTTCCTTCTGAAACATAAGCAAAAATCTCCACTTAGTGAAAGGAAACAGCTTTCAGGAATGCAGTATTTATGTGATAATCCGCCACTGAACTGGTAACCTACAAAGGGAACCATTTTTATTAACAGGCATTTCTATGGTACTCAGCATTGATAGTGTGCGTGTGTGTGTGTTTAGGTTATTAACTTGCAATTTTTCATTTCACAGTTGCTATACAAAAGAGTCTAATTTCTATCTTCATACCAACTTTCCCATTATTAACCGTTCCTAAGTGCTGCTCGTAGAAATGAATAAAAAGCAAAGAAGGTGAATTAAAATACTGTGTAGGTGAGAGTAAATTCTTACACCACTGCCAGGGACCTCGGGTTAAGAACTTAATTCGTTCTGGAGGTCCGTTCTTAACCTGAAACAGTTCTTAACCTGAGGTACCACCTTAGCTAATGGGTCCTCCCACTGCCACCCCACTGCTGCTGCATGATTTCTGTTCTCATCCTGAAGCAAAGTTCTTAACCCGAGGTACTATTTCTGGGTTAGCGGAGTCTGTAACCTGAAGCATATGTAACCCAAGGTACCACTGTATACTACTAGACTGTGCAGTAGTTTCAGAAAATTCATTTCAAGCGTACTGCTGTGACATCTCACTGAGTCACTGTAGATGTACTAGCCATGATATCTTTGCCTTCTGTCCTCTCCTCCACCTTCCATCTCCTGCTGGCCTTAATCACAATTAAATATGACATCGTCAATGACATTAACCACGGTTGAGACTAACTAACCAGGTTTGTTTAGCAGCAGAGCATGGAAAGCAAATTTCCTATATCTCATCTAAAGAAGTATTTGTGGGGAAAGTACATTGTTTCCCCAAAGATTTTGAATAGCCTCTGGCTAGCTCTTTCCAACAGCAGATGGAGTCATAAACTTGTGTCCAGAAAGTACTGCTTCAGATTGCACGTGACACGCAAACATATGATGCAATACACTCTGGCTATTCATTCACCCATTCATTTTTATTTAAAATTGCATATCACACCCTATTTGAAATCAGTACAACAAAACAGAAAACTAATGAAACCTTAGCTACAGAAGAACTTATTTATTCATACATACATAGGAGAAAATTAATTAATTAATTAATTAATTGTCCTCCTCTTTCCGTCAAAGTGGTATGCATGGTTTTCTTCCTCCATATTTCCCCACTCACAACAACCCTGTGAGGTAAGCTAAGCTGAGAGACTGCGACTGGCTCAAGGTTACCCAGTGAGCTTCATTGCTGAACAAGGATTTGAACTCTGGTCTCCCAGGTCATAGTCCAGCACTCTAACCGCTGCACCACACTGGGTCTCACAGTGGCCACCTGTATGGACACTTCTTAAGAGCGGAAGAGGGAGATGCTTGTGCCTTGTCCCCAGGTGTCACAGAGACACAGCTATGCTTCTCCACCCGCACATAAGCGCCTGCTGCCCTTGGAGGTCATGAGTGGGGTGGCACATTCGCACACAACGTTTTAAATCATCATCCTATAAAGATGCAGAGAAGTAGAAAACATAATGCAACCGTCACAAAATAGAATGAGGCTCAGGTTAAATGTTCGAAAGTCTAACCTGGGAAAGTAAAGTAACTCTTCACCTAGCATCTTAACTACAGTACATGAGTAGGTGCAAGTGAGTTTCCCAGAGGAGAGCATTTGATATAGTCAAGAGGGCCCTGCCTCTGGTGATCACGTGCCTAAGCCCAGAAGGGAGCAGGCATTCAGAGAAAGGGCCCTGAAGACCGTAATGCACAAGCAGAAACTTGTGGGGAAGGAGGATCCTTTAGGTACCCAGAAAGCAAGCTATGCAGTAGTACCACGGGTTAAGAACTTAATTCGTTCCGGAGGTCTGTTCTTAACCTGAAACTGTTCTTAACCTGAAGCACCACTTTAGCTAATGGGGCCTCCTGCTGCCGCCACGCTGCTGCTGCTGCACAATTTCTGTTCTCATCCTGAAGCAAAGTTCTTAACCCGAGGTAATATTTCTGGGTTAGCGGAGTCTGTAACCTGAAGCGTACGTAACCTGAAGCATATGAAACCCGAGGTACCACTGTATAGGGCTTTAAATATAACACCAGCATTTCAAATTTTATTGGGAATAGATTGACCACCAGCAGGGTGAGGCAGCCACCTCAGGCACTTGATTGTGGAATTCATGAAAGGGCAAGTTTTTAGTTATTTGTTCGTTCTTTCTTTCTTTCTGCTGCCAGGAAGGAGGAGAACTGTTGGTGAGGTCTTCTGCCTCATGTAGCAATAACATGGTTGGCCTGAGGCACTGTATGGTGGGTTGGGGGAACCATTTACTGTTTCACATCATACAGCAAAATGCCCTGGGCTGGCACTTGCTAGCAGTGAAATTGTTTCAGAGCTGGGCAGATATGTTCTAGGAGTGCTCCCAGTAGCAATCTTGCACCTGTGTTCTGGACTAATAGAAGCTTCTGGGACGTCTCCAAAGTCAAACCATGTAATGCATTGCAGTAATCTAACCCAAAGATTGCACCATATTTCACATATAGAAGTACTTGATATGATGACTTCACATTGAAGCAGCACTGAATTTTGTATTTTGGTTCATAAAGCAGGGATGACCTTGCCTTGCCTTGCTGCAGAGTGCCATCAAGAAATACTATAGACCCATTAATGGTAAAATGTGTTTGTTGGGTTTTTAAAAAATAGCCTTGGTGGCAGGTGCTCCACACTGAGAGATGTATTTCTCTTAGCATTGTATAATATGGCCTTACATTTTCAATTCAGCTTCTCGTGCAAAATTCAGGCATCTGTTGCTTTTCCTGCCACTAGCAGTTTCCTTTCTGATAGCACTGCAGCCAAAACATGCCACTGAGCACCTGATTTTCCAGAAGACATTAAGATACAGGATCCCAGAAGGTTCTTGGGTTCTTGTAGAAGGCTGCTGTAGTCATTGTTCAAAAGTTTTTGTTTCAAACCTAACAACTTGGGAGGGTATCATAATGAGGAAAGAATAAACCCAAAACATTACAATTCTTACCCATTCTAGTATAATTCCCTGTTCTCTTCTTTAAAAGAGCACTCATTTCCCTTTGTTGGAAGGGAAATATTTGGAAATTAAATAGCTATGTGTTAACTCTGGCAGCAGCTGGGAAAGAAAGCCGAGATCTAGTGATATTCTGGCTCATTAGTAAAAGTTACTGTTGTATGTGTTAATTAGGGATAATGATGCCACACTGAGCTTTGTTCAGAGTGCTTACTCCTTTGCCAATGACAAGATTACCAATCTGTGTCAAAAAGCAGAGACCAGCCTCAAGGGCATCTGAAGTGGACGATGCATAATATTTTTCACATTGAGTACTTGCTTGTAACAGTTTTAGAATAAAGTTGCTTGTGCAAGAACTCAAATAGATTTATGTTAGTAGGGAAGCAAGAAAGGAACTATGTCATCCTGTGTTCTAACCCTTGCTGTTGAATTAATTAATCTAGTGCAGTAGTTTGGGCAACCTCTCCTAATAAATCCTCTCCCTACGCAATCTTGTCTTCAAGCTCTATATAAAAGATGGATTAGTGCATAAAGAGGATCTCATCCGCTAAGCGCCTTCGCTATCATGTGCTGTCTTCCCTGTGTCGCGTAAGGTTGAGAACTGATGCTCATTAGTTTAGACTTAAGCGATGGGTCTTGAACTAGAATTCAACTCTCACTGCGGCTTGTCCTGTTTCAGGCCAGCACCTTTGACAGGAACCACATGTCTTCTGTAAATTCCTCCAGCACAGGCATCCCCAAACTCGGCCCTCCAGATGTTTTGGGACTACAATTCCCATCATCCCTGACTGTTAGCTAGGGATGATTGCCCATAAGCAATCATCACAGTGCAGTCTAGCTTGGCTGCTGTTTGTGATGGATTGACCTCTTTTTAACAATGAAGATCCTCAGAGCTGATAGTACCAAGAACATCTGTATGGTGCCTGGGCAGGAAGCTCTTCAAGGCCTTTCACTGCTACTGAACCAAATGGAAGATGGGATTGCTAATTTGCTATTTGAGCAACCAAGGAAATGAACTGTATACATGTCTGGGGTGGGGATAAGTAATGAATTAAGTGAGCGAATAGAAATGCACATGAACTTACTTATGCATAATTTAAAGTGCTTTTCATCTAGATGTCATACCCTTGTTGGTCCAACATCCTTGCATCTCTTTTTACATACTTTATATATAAACATTTTTGTGAGGCCCGTCTGAAAAGTGATGAATAGAACTACTTCATATAATAAACACATGACCACAACTGAGCAGTAATTGTTTTTCTAAATATATAATTAAAACTTTATGCCAATTTTTCAAGTCACTTTGCAGGTAAAATAAAAATAACCAAGGCTGAAATATTATACATTTACCTAGGAGTAGGCCCCATTGAACTCAGTAGGACTATTTTTTTTATCAGACATGTATAGGATTGTGCTGTAAGGCTACAATTACCTGGGAGAAAACATTACTGAACACAGAGGGACTTCCCTCTGAGTAAACATTCCTAATGGGATAGCACCGTAAGTTACTCATTCCTGAAAAAAATAGTAGAAGAGTGGAAAAACTAGGAGTATTGCTGAAGCGTTTAATAACCCACTGTCCTCCACAGAGTATGTAACAGTTGGAAAATGTTAATCTGCTAGGTTGCTAAGCAACTGTGTCCTGACCTCAATCCCTATTGGATCAAGGGGAGTTTACTGATGAATTATATTTTTACTCTAATTTAAACCTTGATAGAGCTGATGTAGGTAGGGTTTTAACAAAATGGTCCTTTTCCTGGTTCATTGGAGTCTTAAGGTGTACCATTTATCATTTGGTGTGCTTGCAAAAGCATGCTAATAATAAATTTCAATAATGAGAATTAAAGCTTTAACAGAATATCGTGTTGCACAAACTCAGTTTTTATAGGATCTTGTGTCAGTGTTAGTAACCCAAAATTAACCTCAGATGTATTACTGCTAGGCTAAAGGTCAAACGGATAAAGAGCCAAAATGTGAAATGATGTCACAGGAATGAGAGCTGTCAGAATCTCTCAAGTATCACTTTTAAGATATATCCTACATTGCAGGTTTTTTAAAAAATCAAGTAATAAAACATACCCATACAAGGAATACAGAATTTAGCAGTGGTACAGGAAAAAAAATGATTGTAATATTAGACGTTCCAAGAAAGGCAGTCAAATGAAAGTGTATCTCCATACAGTTCCACAAATTGATGGAAGGTGAAAACCATGTTCAATTGTCTTAACAAAGTCCATAGAATGATACCATGTCATAGATGGTGTGAGTCTTATTCACCCCATATCAATATTCTTTTTGTGAAATGGTTAATGTGTCCATAAGCACAGTGGCCCATACTTGCAAAATTCATGCTTCAAAAAGATTTTCATTTAAAAGTTTTCCCATTTTTTGCAGTCACTAATCTAGGTGCAGTTAATAAATGGAAGATGATGTCTTCATTGGTTATGTTCTAATATGAGGAGTAAAATAAAATAGTAGGGCTAATTTTGCATCTGTCCATACTTTTCAGTTTTAGCTATATAAAAGTGCTATAGCTTCCATCATTTGTTTTGCTAAAGTCCTTCAGTTTTTCAACAGTTTGTTCTTATGGCATTTTGCTTTAGAGACCCCGTGATTGTGGAATCAAACGTTCTGGTTCTTTTCCAGACAGGCACATGCTTTCATTAGTCAATGTGGCTGCCTACACTTTTCTTAGAGCTATATGAATGCAGTCAACAGCTCCATGCTTTGTTTTTATACACAGGAATGACTTCAAAAAGCCTGCATTTTTGCTAATTTACATTGTAATGGGGCAGCAAACTTGAAACATAAGCGAAGAGTCTGCAAAATAGAGGCATTCAGATTTGCTACAAAGCTGATTATTTCTACCATTTACCCTCTTGTTTCTCAGAAATCAAATTGGAGGCAGGGAGCAAAACGTTTTGGGTGCTGTGTTCTCACAGGGTTGTTGCAGCTTTCTACCTTGTAGGTTGGATTGTTTTAATACTCTTAATGCAGTAGGGTAGGGGGGGGGGGCACAAGCGTGATTGCCCTAGCACAAAATTGTTAGGGGCGGAAAATTTCAACACCCAGTATTGCCTCAATACAGCTGCACGCTTCCTTTGCTGGGCTCTGTTGAAAACAGCTTCTCCAGACAACGGAACAAGTTTTTCTTTTCTTTTCTTGGTGGTTGCAATCTCCATCATTAGGCAGTTGAATGCTGATGTGTACTCCGTACAGTGAATATAAAGCTTGCACCAATTCAGAATCTCCTCCCCTGCGATGTCTCATTTCCCAGAAGGGCTTATTTTTAATAGTTGCTTCCCAGAGGATTCTGACACTGTGGTTCTGGAGTTCTGCTGTAATACAGTTCTCCAAAGCACTAAGACACACCTTTTGTCCAATTAGCATCTCCCTTTAGGTAACTAATGCTTAAGGTACCTTCATACATCACAAAATTGGCCTATCTTAGCTACGGTCTCATTAAAAGCAGAGTGGCATTGGGCTGCATTGTTGTCTGAATACCCTTGGGCCTTGCAGACTGCCTGAGCAATGCAGTGTCTCTTAAGTAAGGAATCATCCATTTGCCTACTCTCTGTGTTGTAGCTGAGAATTAGCTCCTCTCCCTGATAAGCGCCAACTCTCCTCAACTCTAAAGTCTCTAAAGTCAGGATTTTGCAAGTAAGGAGGAAGAAGTTTCTCCCAAGGCAGTGGTGAATAACCTTTGGTGCACCTGTACCACAAGCCAAGACCCAAGTAGAAGGCTGTGTACACATTACCATTGACTCTGGCTCCAGAGTCCACTGCTGGTGTTTGAAAGTGCATTCACATGATGAGGTTAGCCGCAATCCTTATGTATCCTTTAGTTTCTCGAGAAATTATGCTGTTTGATGTCTTAAAACCAGCTTCCTTCTGATTCGAAAATGTAGGCCACAGTTAAGCTGAGGTGTATACATTTGAGACAGTGTTGCACATGCACAGATGACAGTGCATGCACACATTACAACTTCACTGAACAGGAGTTTGGCACAGGGAAACAAATCAGCTAATGTACATCAGGTGAAAACATCACCAACCCCTCTCTGGTGTGTACAGCAACATAAGAAAGTGACTTGAAATGGAGCAGGGGGATATGGGGTTGATGCATTTTAAGCTGCTAATATGTACAATTAAGTCACATCTTACGTGCATTTAACATACATTATTTCAACCGTATGTGCTTGGCTTTAGACTCTTTCAAGATTCCATTCCAGCCTTTCTCTTCTGCCTGCATCTCTCTTTCTCTCTCTCTGCTGCTGCTCTGTTCCCCCTTTATTTCTCTTTGCCTCCGTCCCTCCCACCAGTTGCTCACATGAGGATGAGTGAAGGGAGGCAGTGGAGCTACATGGAAAGCCTTCCTGCAGGGCTCCCCCCCCCATGCCAACCAAGGGAAATTAAAATTTGGCTATACACAATTTTCACATAGATGCACAACCATTGGCACCAAATATCTGTGCATGATACAAGGTGATTGTACATAGACACTGACACTCATCAGGTGACAAAGGCTGCTTTATAGCACTGCGTATGCCACTCTCATGCCTTGGTGTGGTTTTACCTCTATCCTGCTGAGCAACAGAGCAGGCAGCAGTCTAGACATGAGTGGATAGGTCCTCCTTCTCCAGGCAAGGATTGCTTAGGTTGGCTATCTAAGTCCTGAGGCATGATCCATTGGGAAGGATCTGTTCTTCCTTCCTTTCCAGAACTGCTTGGCTAGGTAAGGGTGATTACCACTGTTCAGACCATGAGCTGGGTTTCTTCCAGAGAAACAACCCAATAAATGGATCCTTGGATTCTCAAGGGCCTTAGGTTTCCTGCACTTGGGGCAGGCTGTTCCACATTGTGATTTTGTGAAGTTGTTCTTCCATATTTTCAAGTCCACATTCGTTAAAAAAGCAAGGGAATAGCTAGTGGGAAGTGAACTTGAGTGGTGTGAATGCAATGTTCTACTGAGGACTCCCAAATGCATTGCCTGCCCTTCGCAAAGGGGCTTGCATTGATCTCTCTGGGCAACTGAGCGAGGTTTACTACAGACCAAATGGGGGCAGATGCTCCTAGGAATGCTGCTACCATTCTGAGATAACAAAATTTCACCAGGTGTGCCTGGTGGCGCAGTGGTGATCGCAGCTGAGAAAGGAACATTGGGCTGACTCCCTGATGCCTGATCCTGTTGCTCCGAGTACAGCAAGTGCCCCTTATCGTTTGCCCTCGAGGACTATCAAAGGAAACCTAGATGTCTTCCATTACTGTTGAAAACAAGAGTGGAGTCCCATGCCGGGCCTCGAAGAAGAATGTAGATCTATTGGCAGCGGATCTGAACAAGGGAATGAATAATTCATGCCCCCAAATGCCTCCTGTGCGTTCTCATCCATTTAGGCTGCTTGGGAGTTCTAGCTGCTGAGATGCAGACACAGATCGACTTCCAAAGGATAAAAACCCTGATAGACGCTGCTTGCTGTTGCTTCTGTCAGCCTCCAGTTCAAAGGATTGCAGCAGCTGCTGTGATGCTGGCTTAAGAGGGCGAAGGCCGGACCTCCGATTGCTGCCCCATCAAAACTGTGGTAGTCCAAGAAGTTCTGTAGCAAGGGCAGCCTGCTAGAATCCCTTCTCTAGGTAAGTAAGGCAAAAAAAGGTGGCTTGGCTAATTTTACCAGGAACCATGTGGCAGGCAGGGGAGGGCAGTGGCTCAGCCCAGAGTTGGAAATGGCCTTGTTTACGTGCCAAGGGGCTTTTCTTAGGAGCGGGAGCGGGGGCGGGCGGGCACAGGAGAAAGCAAAGCAGGTTTGTCTCTGCCAAAAGCTTGCTAAAAACAGACAAGGCTTTGATTCGCTTTCAGCCACCATCTTAAGAAGTAAAGCTGATTTAATTGCTGTTCAGTGAAGTAAATTCATTGTGTGGAGTCACTTACTAGCTGGGCAGTTGTCCATATCAGAGTTGGCAGCTAAGGGCTTGGGAGGAGGAATTTCTCTCCCTGCCTCGGTCGAGGTCTCTTTAGGTCACGGCAGAGGTGCACTGGCAGGGCAGCAGCGGGGAGAGGGGTTAGTCCAGGTCGGCAGGAAACACAACTTCATTCTCCCAAGCTGTCTATCCAGCACCCGTGAAACAGGGCTTGTGGGCTGCCAAACTTCCTCTTCTTTGTTTGCTCAAGACCCTGCTGTGTTGATTTATAGTGCCACCTTTTACCTTCCCTGCTTTCACTGAGGATAAGCTCTTTCCACTGGATTCAATAACTTCTTTTACATTTTGCTGCTCAGGTTGCCATTGATCCAACAGGCTGTATATCCTGTGGAGGAGAGTGTATGACCTAGCTATTTAAAGCAGGTGTTTAAACCCCAGCGTGAGTCAGGTTTCTTAACAATGGGCTATTGCCACTCCATCTCAAGGTTGTTCCAGTCAGACTGTCTCCTCTCCAGATCCCAGTGATATCCAGCTAAGTCATACTCGGAATAGACACCATAAAACCAATGTGCTTAAGTTACTTAGGTTCATTGATTTCAGTGGGTCTGCTCTGAGTATGACTGATGTTGGATGTCATCCAGTGCGCTCTCTTGCTCTGGGGGTGTGTGTGTGTGTGTGTGTGTGTGTGAGAGAGAGAGAGAGAGAGAGAGAGAGAGGTTAGAAATATAAATGTGTCACAATTCAGTTGCAATGTATGAAGTTAGGCACATGGATGTCGTCTGTTGCAAAAACTGCAAACTGTAGGTGATATTTATCTGGTCCTGACTATTATGTTACAACAGAAGCAGGGAGCACAGCACAACTTATTTATACAGATTTATCAAGACATTTGCCTCTTGGAACAGTATACAGCACAAAGGGATAAAATACAGTAAATGCAATAAAATAACACATTGCAGCAGCATTTAAAAGTCCAGCATTGCAGTAGTGAAGATTACCAGAGCATGGGCTACTATGGCTGAGCCGTATCTATACCTGCTTTTTCCTGCGTAGCCCTGCCCCTGGATCTGCGCCAAGGTTACACTAGGCAGCCTTTCTCAACCTTGAATCCGTAGATGTTGTTGGACTACAGCTCCTATCATCCCTAGCTAGCAGGATGAGTGGTCAGGAATAATCGGAGTTGTAGTCCAGCAACATCTACGGACCCAAGGTTGAGAAAGGCTGCACTAGAAAATGTGGGGTTTTTTGCATTCTCTTTATTAATTTTCATTACACACAAGACAAATTCATCACAAACAAAAAATAAACCAAACAACACAACTAAATAGAAAAAAAGCAAAGAACAAAAAACAACATATAACTAATTGACTCCCCTCCACCTCGGTTTTGGGTTATATAATAAAGAATTTTTTCCGCAGTTTATCTTTAAGACTTCTGTATGTCGGAGGGTTATATTGAGCCTACTGTGATCTTTAGATTTTTAAAATCTGCTTCAATATATGTTATGAATTTGTTCCATTCCTTAATAAACTTTGTTTCTTTCTGATCTCTGATTTTTTGTGTTATTTTTGCCAATTCTAAGTATTCGAATAGTTTACTTTGCCAATCTCTTACCGTTGGGATACTAATTGACTTCCAATTTTGTGCTATTAATATTCTAGCAGCTGTTGTTGCGTACTGGAATAAAGTCTGGTCCTCTTTCTTAATTTCATTACCAATCATCCCCAGAAGGAAGTTTTCCGGTTTTTTAACAAAAGTGTATTTGAACATTTTAAAAAATTCATTATAAACAAGCTCCCAAAACTTTTTAATTTTTTCGCAGGTCCACCACATGTGGTAGAAACTTCCTTCCTTATTTTTGCACTTCCAGCACATTTTGTCTCCAGTCTTATAATTTTTTTCTAATTTTACAGGGGTGATGTACCATCTGTACATCATTTTTTCCATGTTTTCTCTTAGTGCGGCACACACTGTAAACTTCATATCTTTATTCCAGAGCTATATCCAACTATCATATTCCAAATTATATCCCAGGTCTATCGCCCATTTCACCATAACTTCTTTTATCTCCTCGTCCTTAGTATCCCATTCTAACAATTGGTTATACATTTTTGATAAAGTTTTGAATTTCCTTCCAATATTTCTATCTGAAATCTGGATTTTTTTTCGTTCATCCCAATCTTTTTATGTTCTGTCCACAGTGCGTTAATTTGATGGAATTGTAACCAACTCGTTAATTTATCTCCTAATTCTTCATAAGTTTTGATTTTCCAACCTTTCTCTGTTCTAACCAACAGGTCTTCATATGTCCATCTTTCACCTTCTATATTTACTTTTTTGGTTGTTAAAATATCTATTGGTGACAGCCACCAGGGAGTGTTTCTTTCAAGTAAATTTTTGTTTCTTTCCCATACCTCTATCAATGGTCCTCTGATAATATGATTGGAGAATCCTTTGTGTACTTTTACTTTGTTGTGCCACAAATATGCCTGCCATCCGAATCTGGTATTGAAGCCTTCTAGATCTAACAGGTCAGTATTTTTTATGACAATCCATTCTTAAACCCACAGAGGCATGAAGCCTCGTAGTACAATTTCAAATTCGGTACCGCAAATCCTCCTCTTTCCCTTCTATCTGTAAGTAATTTAAATTTAATTCTAGGCCTTTTTCCCTGCCAAATGAATTTGGATAGAATTTTTTGCCAATCTTTAAAAACTGTGGTTCCCCTTATCACCGGAATATTTTGGAACAAAAATAGCAGCTTTGGAAGTATGTTCATCTTAATTGCGGCCATTCTTCCTGACCATGATAATTTCATCCTGTTCCAGATATCTAGGTCCTTTTTGATTTCTTTCCAAGTAACTAAATAATTATCCGCCATTAAATTTATATTCTTCATAGTTAGCCAAATTCCTAAGTATTTTGCTTTTTTTACCGCCTTAATTCCAATTTGTACCTCTAACTGATTTTTCACAACTTCTTCGATGTTTTTAGTCATCATTTTAGTTTTTGATTTGTTTAACTTAAAACCTGATAACTTTACAAATTCTTCTAATAATTCTATTACCCTGTGTACACTTTTTTGTGGATCTTCTAATGATAGCATCAGATCATCAGCATATGCTTTCAATTTATATTCTTTTTCCCCGATTTTAATTCCACGTACTTCTGGTGTTGTTCTTACCTTATTCGCGATAATTTCTAATACCATTATAAATAGAAGAGGAGACAGAGGGCATCCCTGTCTCGTGCCCTTTGAAATTTCAAAAGAGTCAGTTAAGTCATTATTGATGATTAATTTTGCTCTAGGGCTGCACTAGAAAATGTGACGGAATACAGGTTCAACCGAGTCCACACAAGTTTTGGCCACACACACACAAACACACAGCACAATTTGTGCAAGAACTAATCCCCATGACTTCTGAATTTAGGGAACTACTGTTGTTGTTTAGTTGTTTAGTCTTGTCCGACTCTTCGTGACCCCATGGACCAGAGCATGCCAGGCACTCCTGTCTTCCACTGCCTCCCGCATTTTGGTCAAACTCATGCTGGTAGCTTCGAGAACACTGTCCAACCATCTCATTCTCTGTCGTCCCCTTCTCCTTGTGCCCTCCATCTTTCCCAACATCAGGGTCTTTTCCAGGGAGTCTTCTCTTCTCATGAGGTGGCCAAAGTATTGGAGCCTCAGCTTCACGATCTGTCCTTCCAGTGAGCACTCAGGGCTGATTTCCTTAAGAATGGATAGGTTTGATCTTCTTGCAGTCCATGGGACTCTCAAGAGGGCACAAGGAGAAGGGGATGACAAAGGACTTTGCATGAGCAGGTATTTGCAAAAAGGACTCCTATTCAGTTATTGGAGACCATGGCTAGCTTGGCCATGCAACCCTAAGGATGAGGCAGGCAGTGTGCACCCGCTCCCAGTCATTGCATGATTTCCCTTCGTATGAATAACACAGGAAGGGGACTTATACATAGTTTAGTAAAAAGAACATTGGCATGCCCAGTTTCATTCCCTATTATTTATGAATAACAAAGATTTTGATAAAAGCTGATGCACGCAACAGGGCTCTTTTCGGTAGTGACCTTTGTGAAATGCCACAGTATAGAAGCTTGTGTCAAAAGAGACTCCTTAAATGGAGGCTTACAATGATCCCCTCTTGTACAGCTCTAAGCTGTGGCCTTGATATGTACAACTGCTAGACTCTGGTGTAGAGAGCTCAAAGTATGCAAAAGAAAATAAGCCTTACAGTGAAATGTTCCCCGTTGCTTTGGGTTAGTCTGCTGTGCAGATGCAAGGATGGCAAAGAACTCACAGCAAGGTTTCACGGCTTACTTTTAAGATTGTTCAACGGAGCAGGATTTGAAGAAATGCCCGGGTGGTTTCCATAGTAATGTTGCTGTGGAGCACTTCTTACACTTCAGAGGTAGCAAATGTGCCACCCTCTGTGTGGCAAGATAGTCAAATCTATCAAATTGAGGAGCCATCTGGAAATCCAGAGATGGACACAGGTGTGCTTATGCTTGCTTTTGTCTTTGTTGATTATCATCTGAGCAAAGAGCACTGAGAGAAATGGAGTTGGAAGGGGTTCATTCTTCCAGACAGTCATTCCATGTTTAGTGCTCTTTAACTGAAAATCCACATAGATTTTCAGGGTAATGCTTGAGCTGCACTAGCAGCAGATGGTGCTCTCTGTCTCTCTTTTTGTACACATATAACTCAACAACACACACAGATGCCTCTTATCCTTGCTTCTGCCCCTCATAAAGGTAAAGGACCCCTGACCATTAGGTCCAATCGTGACTGACTCTGGGGTTGCGGTGCTCATCTCGCTTTATTGGCTGAGGGAGCCGACGTACAGCTTCCGGGTCATGTGACCAGCATGACTAAGCCGCTTCTGGCGAACCAGAGCAGCACACGGAAACGCCGTTTACCTTCACGCTGGAGTGGTACCTATTTATCTACTTGCACTTGGGTGTTCTTTTGAACTGCTAGGTTGGCAGGAGCTGGGACCGAACAATGGGAGCTCACCCCGTTGCAGGGATTCGAACCGTCGACCTTCTGATCGGCAAGCCCTAGGCTCTGTGGTTTAACCCACAGTGCCACCCGTGTCCCCTTCTGCCCCTCATAGCCATCATGATATAAAGAGATCGCACTGGTCTACTTGCTCACAGTGCTATCATATGTATATATGCAAGTTGTCTGCCTCTTCAGAAGTTGTGTGTGAGCCTCGAACAGGTTTATTATTATACTTGCAACATGGAAATGTTATATTCTTGCTAGAAAAGAAACGCTCTGTTCCTGCTAGAGTTGCTTTTAATCTTACAAGTTTTTATTTTTGGAGTTTTGAGCAGGGTGGATCGATCAAAACCGAGGCAAGTTGTCACCAATAAAAAGACAGTTTTAAATCAATTTCTCCATTGTACAAGTCATACTAATTTGTTGCTATAACAATGAAAACATTGGTTAGCAGCTAAGAGCTTTTAAAACAGCACTGGAGCATAATCTAAAGCCTCTGGACAGGAAGTCTCTGTGCCTTTGGCACCACATTTTTGTTTACTTAGAAATAAGGGAGAGGCAATTGTGCAATTAATAGATTTATTTTTTGACCCTTAGTGCAAGATCACTGCTTTGTCAGCTTAAATTTCTAGAATGTTCCAGAAAAAGAGGCTAGTAATTGCTGAGGAGAACAAAGATAAGGAGCAGCCAGTTACATCCATACCATACGTTTAAAGCACACAGCTTCCTCCAAAGAATCCTGGGAACTCTAGTTAGTTAAGGGTTATGGAACTGTAATTCTGAGAAGGGTGCACTACATTTCCCAGGATTATTTGACAGTACTGCCCTACCTTATGTTATATTGTAATAAAGTATACGCAACACTGAAAGCATGGTATAAATGCTGCATATATTTTATTCATTTGTATCCTGTCTTTCCACTATAGAAGTCTTCAAAAAAAATGCCATTTGAGTTCTGCCCTTTAAATACTTTTAGTTTATGAGATATCTTTTCAAGGAAGGCAAAGAAGGCCAATAAATCTTTTTTGTTTAAATAAGTTACACACACACATTGATCTACGAATCCACTTTCCTGGTGCCTTAGCATTTGGACTGGGTCACAGTTCATTAAACCAACACATTGTGGCACAATTGCAAGCATCCAGACTGGCTTAAGCCTCACATATCATACAGAAACATAGAGCCTAGCTGTGAACCATCTCATTACAAATAGAACCAGATGCAAACCAATCATGTCAATAACCAGAGCGTTTGTTTAATGCAGCCTTCCCCAGCTTGGCGTCCTCCAACTCCTATCAATTCCTGCCAGCTCCACTGTGCTTCCTGGGGCTGTTTGGCGACTGTATCCCAAAGCAGCTGGAGCATGCCTAGCTGGGGAAAGCTGCTTTAATCCACAACTGTGATTGGAATGCGAATCTTTGGCTTCCCCTGTGGCATCTAGTGCTTCCCCTTAGAATCTTGAGGTTCCTTGCATTTCACAACCAAGCAGAGGATGGATGGATGATGGGCATTTGTTGTATGTGATCCCACTCAGGGCTCACGAAAATGCAGCATGTGCATCTAGCATCATGAGGCTGCAGCCCTACACTCTTAGGCGCATTGAACTCAGTAGAAATGGTGAATTGCACTGGAAGTCGCTCTACTTCAAGAGCAAGCTTAGACCTTACGGCTGTCAAGGGCAATAGCAAGGGATTTCTCTGAGGATGGGGAAGACTTCAGTGCTCTCCTTAGCAGCTTCCTGTTCCAAATGACTACTTGCAGAAGGGAAATAAAGTAGGAAAAAGGAGTGCATAGATGAAAATAGGCTAAATTTGCATAATATGTACACAAAATGTATACTTCATGCATAATGTCTGCATAATGTATGCACAATGGAAACTATTTTTCCTTCCTTGAGCATGGCATGCTCCCTTTGCCCGTGAGCTGATGGGTGGCTGAGAGTGCATGTTGCTCCAGCAATGGAAGAATCGGGAGCCCACTTGACTGTTCCTTTAAAGCACCATCCTTACCTGCCCCATGCCTGAGATCAAGAAAGTCATCGGGTGTGGGCCAGGAGGACATTGTTCCCCCAAAATGGCCTAGCAGGCCAAACAAGGGGGCCTGATGGACCAGGTTTAGCCCAGAGGCTGAGGCTCCCCAGCCCTGGTCTAGAGGCTACAATGTTCAGCTTCTCTTGGTGCAGAATTTGAGTTGTCTTAGCAGAATGAATCCTCCAGGACAGAGTTTATACACTCTTGGATAATATGTCATTATTTTCTCTCCATGATTTCCCCTCTACACAATTGCTCTGATCTGTCATTATGGTATAGCAGGCGACCTACTGCTGACAGTACTGTTTAGAATAAGCTGTTGCTTGTTCTGATGTTGAATAGCATTTGTATCTGAAGGAGCAATTTTGGATTTACTGGATAAATACAGGTAATAAAACAGCACTTGTATAATTTGTGTTGAGTTGCTTAATCCTTCATTGTGAAATTGTTGTTCAACTTTTATCCAGGAGGAAATCTGTTTTATGTACCTTCTGTGCCGGACCTCTGAAGGTATTTGCCTACACACTTATAATAGGACATTTATATCATCTGGAATTGGCGTTTTCAAACTGAAGGCCTTTTCTCACTTGTGTCTTTTGTGCAGCCAACACTAGCTCTGCTCCTGGATATTTATTGTGCCATTGCCCTCCGGTGTAGACAGTCTTCTTGTGTATTTATTTGTGCTTATTTATAACTGATAAAATGGCCATAATGAGTTCTGTTTGTAAAAAAGGATATTGAATAATTTCTATGAAACTAATTATATAGTTAATAACTATGCTGCAGCAATATCCTCCTTTCAAGAAAAGGAAGCAGACATGTGAGAGGGGAGCTCTCCTTGCTTTGTTTATAAAACTTTCTAGAGAAGTTAGCAGCACAGACAATAACAGGGAGCCAGCCCTGCCATTAGGCAGAGTGAGCCAGCTGCCTTGGATAACTGAATCTGGTTATCATGAGAGAACAGCAAATTGTTAGTTATTTAAAAACAACCAAGTTTCTTATGTCGCCACAAAGACTAACAAATGTATTATGGCATAAACCTTTGTAGACTCAAGCCGCCTTTGACAAATACATGAAGTGAAATATTAGTTGGCAGGTAAGGTAGGATTAAGGGACGCGGGTGGCGCTGTGGGTAAAAGCCTCAGCGCCTAGGACTTGCCAATCGAAAGGTCGGTGGTTCGAATCCCCGTGGCGGGGTGCGCTCCCGTCGCTCAGTCCCAGCGCCTGCCAACCTAGCAGTTCGAAAGCACCTCCGGGTGCAAGTAGATAAATAGGGACGGCTTACTAGCGGAAAGGTAAACAGCGTTCCGTGTGCTGCGCTGGCTCGCCAGATGCAGCTTGTCACGCTGGCCACGTGACCCGGAAGTGTCTGCGGACAGCGCTGGATCCCGGCCTATAGAGTGAGATGAGCACACAACCCTAGAGTCTGTCAAGACTGGCCCGTACGGGCAGGGGTACCTTTACCTTTAAGGTAGGATTATGTGACAATAAGATGCAAAAATCACAACCAGCAATAATTGAAGCTTAAATTCATATTAAGTAGGCACATAATGGATTGAGGAGTCACTTGTGAGATTTTTCGGTGTCATCCTCCAAAATAACTTGACTAACTTTGGGTACAATGTACTTGCTTGTGATGAGGAGGTCTATTTGCTGATTTACCTGGGGGTGGGGTGGACAAGGCTGAATGCAGTCTTTGGACCAAAGAAACGCTAAAAAAATTGCCACACCTTTTTTTAAAAACACTGATATAGTGATGGGGGTGTATCGGTGCACTGACATTGGTCCAGGGGCACCTCTAGGCATTGTGTGTATTTTTCTGTCATTATGGCAGGTTGCTCCTTCCAACAAGACAACATTTTTCTTCTTCCTGCAACTTCATAGGTCAATGTCCATTTTGAATGGTCTTGTGAAGTTGTGGTCATATCATCACCTGTCGTAGTCCTGTGCTGCCAGCCACAGCAGAGCTCAGTGGAGGGAGAATCCAGCCAACCAGCCGAGTGTCGGGGGGGGGGGGGTACTTGCCTGGAGGCAGAGTCTGTATGCAAGGTTCAGTCCAGTCCTAAGGTCAGGAGTACCTCAATGCACATAGTCAGACGATTCAGGCATCAAGAAAGCCGAGGGTCCACAGTCACAAGAAGCAAGATCTAGTCAGGAATGACAAATGCTGTTTACAGCAACTGACTGAGGCTGGAAAGCCTGCTTAAGAAAGCTGGAGCCAGCTGGTTCTCATCAGGAGCAAGAAGGCTGATCAGCAGCAGGTGGAGTCACTTCACCTTCTGCTCCTTCAGGCTGCTGCTCAGCAGGTGAAGCTCACTCCTGGCCCATGATATCACCCTCTACCTCCCTCTAATGGAGTTTATGTAGCAGATGTTTCATATCTTTCCTCTTTTTTTGGTGATTCAGCAGTCTGTACAGTAACTTCCAAAAGATCATGACTACAGCTGCCAGAGGGCTTTGCAAACAGGAAGTGGGCTTCACACAACTTCCTTTTGAGACTGAAGTACCGGGTTTCTGTAAGCTGCTGAGTGTAATGATCACTCTGCAGGAGAGAGCTCACTTTGTCTCCTCTCCAAGGGTGAGCAGACTGTGAATAGGATTTTATTTCAATCATACTGTACTGTAAGACAGAGAGCCACTCCAGGAAATGAGCCGTTGCAAGGTAATGTAATTCTCTTTGCTCTCCATATGGTTTACATTTGAAACTTTGCCCCAAGCAAAGATCACCTGGCATCAGGACAACTGGATTATTCATGTTCACTTTTGCCTGCTTTGTGTCCCACTGTGATAAAGCAACTCAAATTCCAAGGATTGGACTTGTGGTAAAGGGAACTTGGTGCTGATTATTTTGTTAATTCTAATGATCGTTGTGCTCTGTTTCTATTCAGCAAAATGACAGAATCAGCGGTGGTGGCAAAAGCCTCCGTGCTCCCTCATATTTCAAAGCAATAACTGGAGTGAGCACATCTCCAGAAATATAAAATTCAGCATACCAAAGGAGTTAGGAACCTGTTGCCTTCCGTATATTGGATTGTAATTTACCATCATTTTCTTTGTGTGATGCCTTTCTGTAGTTAAAACCATGCTCAAGGTAGAATACAAAGTGAAGAGAGTTGCATAATTACAAAAGTAGTTATTAGACAATAAAGCACATTAAAAAGTACATAACAAAATTGAACAGCATTGCCGGAAATAGACCATGACGCCTGAAATCCTACAACATCTGGAGGGCCACAGGTTCCTCACCCTGATATATAGAATTGAGCTACATGTACCAACAGTCTATGTGACTAATGATAGTAAAAGGCAGTTTATCTGTGTCTGTTTATTTTCATATTTTATATGAGGGTTTTTGTTTATCAGTCCAACGTTTTCCTCCCTAGTTTACATGGGAGGTTCACTATGCCCAAATTTAAGAAGAGGGAAATTGCTACCTAGAAGAGAGAGATGTATTTTATCATAACAAGGTGTTTCTGCTCTCAAGAAAAGGAATTAACATGCAGGCTAGACTACATGTTATAGCCTCTTCCATAGTGATAAATAAACAATGATTACTCCTTGGCGTCAGCATGAAAATGTTTACCCCTGAGCTCTTGAGTTGTATGCTGATTTTTGAAATCAGTTGCCCTTAAAAATCTTAATGTGTCTTAACTTATACAGTATCTCAATCTTAGGGCCAAAGATGAGATACCACTCCCGCAGTTAGCAATTGCATGCATGGCTTTTAAAAAGTAAATTGCCCGTGTGGACCTACCAATCTGGAGTGAAATATTGGCATGGGTGATAAGTAGACTTTGTCCCTTTGTTTCCCCATGGGGTCCTGTCCTGGATCACCCCTGCTCTTTGTATGGGGGTGGTAGAATCCCCCATTCACTCCAAAGTCCAGTCTTGTGGTCTGTCCAGCCGCAACACTAGAATGAAAACTGCACTGTGAGCTTTTTTATTGACATAGCTTAAAGGCACAAATCAATTGCCCCTACAATTGGCCATCAAAGTCGATATGGTAATGGGAAATTCAGTGGCCTGGACTCCTTTTTGACTCGTGCGTCAGCAAGAAAATTGCCAGTTAAGATTAAGCTGCAAAATGTTACATGCGATAGGAATAAAAAAAGAGAAAAGAGCAGCTCCATTGACTTGTGCTCAGTGGCTGAAAAGTGTCGTGTTGACTCATAAATGGCACATATTGGAGCTAGATTAATTAGTGACAATCAGTGGGAGATTTTCAGTTTTGGATGGGTCGCCATAGCAGCTGCCCCTTTAATTCTGGAGCAAGCCAAAACCTGCCCACTTCTTTTAAGACTTGCTTTTACTTAAAGACATGCCAACATTTCTGCTCGCTTTGGAAATGCACTGAGATGGAAATCTAAAACCAGGGTTGACTGAGGACCTTGATGAAATTATTGATGGCCCTTTGGGACAGCTGGTCCAAAGATCTGTCATCAAGTGCAGTGCAGGGAGGGCGGTGAATCCCGTGACTTCAGCCTTTACCGGCCGTGTATATGACTGCGCCTGCCTTGAGCAGAAAGTGCAGATGGGGACTTCTTGCTATGAAGTAGCAGCAAAGTCCATAATTTCATTACACCCCCACCCAACAGACAGGACACTTGAGTGCTGAATCCCAAAACATAGGTGCTGGGCTTCAAGTTGTCTTCTCCTGCTGAAACATTAAGTATGAATGCTAATTGTGATAACTGGTTTATGCAGAATTGATGGCACCTGCAGATGCAGCTGGGCGTTTGTCCACACACCAGCATGTTTTATTACTTCACATGCTCCAGGGCTTTATCCTGCTACCAGAATCCAGTCCTGGCACAGGTCAAGCTAACCGTACCTGACCTGGTTGGGGCTAATAGGAGTTATAGTCCAAAACATCTGGAGGAGCCCAGACTGGCAAAGGCTAGATTAAGCCATCAGAGTACAGTTTATGTCAGCATGCAAGCACTGTGGGTTATGAGTTGCTGAGATTCTGCATCTGCATGTATATGTTTCAGTTTGGAGTTGGGTGGCATAGCAGATGGCACAGAAGACATTGCTCACAGAAAGCCAACTGTTAGAGGTGGTTCAGGCCTCTGAAGTAGGGGAGCAGATGTTCTACTCATCATTGGCCCATCTGCTCTCTCTGCTTCTGCCATATCTACAGGCACTTGTGTATCAGTGGTAAATGAACAAAAGAACAATCACAGCCACCCTATTCATCATGGTCCCAGCTGCTTAGTCATTGACTGTGACTAAGGGGGTGGGGTGGGATGAGGAATAGCTGTTGAACCTTCATGAAAATTCGGGATGGAAAAGCAGCACAACAAATTTTGAGTTAAGACTTTAACTGAGTGGAAATGTGGCTTGTTGCTTACTCTGAACTGGCTGGTGGACATGGTATGATTCTGTAGGACAGAAGAACACCCCAAATGCAGCTTGTAGTGTAGTTAGCATCAAGATAGTCTCTGGATAGGTGGCAATGGTTCTGGGGGTTCTCCTGACCCCTCCAGAGCCACAGTTCTGGATGTTTGGGGGAAGGAGTGGAAGCCCTAGTGTGGGCTAGTGTTAGCAGACCCATTCAATATATGAAGAGGAGCTTGAACTCTGACCTCTGGCCTCATATCACTCCCCATTTTAATTCGTTGGAGCTTCATAGGAATATGAACCTGCTTTCAGTTCTGGGATAATCTCATGAAGATGGTTTCAGCTTCAATGGTTTGTAGAAGCTCTCAATAATTAAATTGTTCTGAGAGTCACGTTCTGTGGGGCCAGCATGGCTACCAAAAGCTCTGCTGTGCAGCTCACACAGATGGGCAAAGCATCTGCTTCCAATATAAATGTGCAAATGTTGTGATAGGACACCTGTCAACTTCTTCTTCCTTTGTTTATTGGACCAAATATGGCCTATTGGTTCAAAAAAGCAACAAACAGTCTATGGCCTGCAATTTGCTTATGGTTCTCTAAATGCCTTAAAGACGCGGCTCTATGTGTGAAAGTCATCACTGACCATACAATATGTTCCCATCGCTAATTAAGCAGCCTGTAAACCACAGGTGTAAGGAACACAATACTCCCTGTTGTAAGATAATTGCCGGAAAGTGGCAAGAGAATGGCTTACTGCTAAGGAAACTACTTCAGGGACCTGCTTCTTTGAAAGCAGTAGCTCATTTTAAGAAGCAGTGAATATTCACCCCCAGTGACAGTCTATGGAAGCCTGTTTTCATATGTTAAAAAAGGATGGCTTGTGCTTTTAAGTGTTTTAGACAAAAGAGGTATGTCCTCACGTAGGGATGGATGGATCAGGTTATCTCCAGCCCATGTCAATGTCACAAGTCCATTCCATCTTGTTTCTGCATCAATCTGCAGTTGTTGTTTTTAAAAAAAACTGCCTAAGAAGATCACATTAACTTTGGATATACATGGATTTTTGTTTACACCTTATCCTAAATGATTTAGAACATTATTTAAGAAGCAATAACTGTATTGTAAATTTTTAGAGGCAAATTTGGTACCTTATTCCCAGAGTGGGTGGATCAGGACAGTATGTATCAGAATATGCTCCCCCTCAAAAAAAAAATTGAACAAAAAACCAAAAACCCAACTCCCCAGCAAGCTTGGTTCAGAGGTGTCGATACTAGAGGCTGATGTACACCTTTGCTTGTTCATACCATACAGACATATAGGGGAATATGGAAATTGTCCATTATTCCCATCAGATATAGTTGTTTGATTAGGAACATGGCACAATTAAATTAAGCCCATCCATTGTGCTTTACATTTCACTGGGAGCATTGTGGAAGTTTAAGGAGCACAAGCAAAAGTGCCGCTTCATATTTTGAGGCAGGGAGAAGATTTGCAGCAAGGTTCGAAAGCTTCCGCTTGGATCAAATTGAAGGTCAGATTCCAGAAAGCAGTGTAGAGGATTTGCTGAGGTTATTTTTTATACCTCATAATTACTAGGGACATTGATGCCCCTGAGGCATGGTCATGTGTATCCTGTTCTGCCGGCGCTTAGGGGCTCACAAGGGAAGTGGTATACATTCCCAAGGCATCTTTCAGTCAGACTCCTGGGCAGCCCTGCTATCTGAGCTATGGAAGGTGTTTGTCTCAGCCAAGGACCAGAGTCACCCAAAGGCTTAGAAAGGCTGGTAGGGCTTTCCCCTTCAGAGGCTGTGCCCTCCCTTGGAAAGCTGTCTGCAATCTTTAAAGGGCTCATAGCTGATTCTACAGTCCCAAGCACCTGTCTGACTGTGGAGTAGGGGAAACGGCGGGGAGTCATTCCCGGAGTCTGCAGATGATGGGAGAGCCACATCCTCAGGCTGAGTTGCTGTAAATGGGCGTGCTAAGGACCCCACAGGAGGGTGACATGCGAGTCATCCAAAGATGTGTCCTCCTCATGATAATACGTGGTCTGAAACATTGCAGGGGGGTTTCCTCACATGCCAGCTGTTGTCAAAAAGTAAATCCAGGCTGCTCAAAGGAAACATACAAAATGTTCTTTGAAGAAATGCTTTGGAACCCAGTCCTGCGTGTGTGTTGTTTGTGCTGTGCACAGTTATTGGTACCTGTATGCTGGTTAGTTGGTGGAGGACTGATTTCCAAGGGCAGACAAATAGAACTGATTTTTAAAAATGAATAATGTTAAGCATTTAATTTTCCAGAAACAGGAAAATCCCCATTTTAAAACATTGTTTAAATTTGCAGGTGGTTTTAAAACCAGTTATAGTTGCTGGTATTCAGCAGTCTCCTGTCTTGCTGCTGGGTCGTCCCCACCCTCCCGTGCGCCTTGATCGTTGAGTGTCTACATGCTCCTGATTCCAGGACTTTTTCTTTCCTCTATTTATGATCTCTCAGAGAACTGTTCAGTTGACTAATCTGTTCTCCCTGGCACCGTCAGCATTTCAGCCCAGTTTTTCAAGACTGAGTTAAGCACTTGAAAAAACCCATTGAAACCAGTTTTTCAAAACTGGCTGTTACGTTTTCATCTTAATGGCAACTTCTGACACCGCTGCTTACACAGTTGTGAGTGGGCTTTTGCCTCATTTGGAGTTAGCCACTTACAGCAACAATCCCACTAGTACTTGGGCTTTTACTTGGGTCACTAGGGACAACCCTATTCCCCCAGATAGCTCTAGGAGTATTCACACTCAAATGTGAATACTCAGTTACCGAGCCCAACTTCATGGTAATGATTGTCTGTAGCTTTGAAAGTCCACAATTCCTAATGGCACCCAACAACAGCCATCATGTTAGTCTTACATGAAAAGACACTAGCTCTATCCTGCCACAGTGCCTCTGCTAGGATGATCCCAGTCAAAATGTTTGCAGTGAACACACAGCACTAAGTGGACTTTTTAGCTCAATAACCCACCAGCTGTGAGAGGTGTACTTTTTGCACTGGCAGCAGTTGTAAGTCAGACCAATTCCTAGTGTATTCTGAGCCATCCCAGGAGGTGGCTTTTGCCCATGCAGCTTAGAGATTTGAGTGTTGCTCGCTTGCAGCTTGGTTGTTCCATTGTGAGCCCCTTAGGAAACATTGACCTTTTCTAGAATCTTAGTTCACTTTTTAATTTTATCTTGTAGGAACCGTACGAGCCCAGACATGCCTGTGAATGTGGAGGAATCTAGGCAGGTGAGCTGTGAATTGCCAGTGAAACAGATCTTTTTTGTAAAGCACAGAACAACTTTTTAGTTATGGGAAGTAATAATAAAGCAATGAAATACATTTTTATAACTTGTTTTCACACAATCTTTTCTCCAAATCCTGAATTCATTGGTAAACTGCACATATTGCTTAGACGCAAGCACAGCTCAGTTGCTTTCAGTGCAGTTGGATCTCCTCTTTGGCCAGCTAAGTTATTTCCTTGGGTCACCATTAGTATGTGTGACTTCCCCTCTTCCTGAACCTAGAGTCCACCAAAATAACCTTATAAGGAGGTATTAGCTATGGGGGTCTCTAGATGTATATAACAAGTCACAGACACATTGTGGGAATGTACAGACCAATTAGATGTACAGTATCTCGTAAGGATTGAGGAAGTACATTTTTCCTGTTTCCTGTTGAAGCTGGCTGAATCAGAACTCGTTCATTTGACCCCTGTCAAAATGCCACTTTCTTTAGAGCAGTTCTTCAACTTTTAATTGCTGGGTCCCACCCCCCGTAAGGAACTAATGTTTGATTGAATACAGGAACAAGATGTGCTTAAACATCATCATCATCATCATTACTATTAATAATCATATTAAAATTGAAAACATAGGAATGCTTTTTTTAAAAGCAAGGATCTAATGTTGGTTTGAATTGAGGAACAAGCTGTTCTTAATATTTAAAATTATTTTATTATTAAAAGCGTGGGGGAAAGGCAAGACATCCAACCGAATCACTATTTGATTCATGGATTAGATTGATTGCCGTTGGTTTCCAAGCTGGGCTCTCTAGTGGGGAAGGTTCTGACTCCTGTTTTTTGATACGTCTCTACACACTAAATTGCATTGAAGAAGTTAACTTTGGAAGATTTGTCCAGCCGCTTTGTAGCATTGTTGGGAATATTCTGATAATTACATATCCAGAGTAGGCTGCTTCCAGATTGTTACTTATTTTGTCAGTCAGGTTTGATCACAAATGGGCAAATTCAGGTTGCACACTTAAACTGTATTTGGCACTTGTGCAACAGACCTGCTTCCAAAACCAGAAAACTGTTTGTGGTAAGGAACCTGACAGAAGAATGCACTTGAAAGTGTGGAACAATTGCTTGACGCAATGCCATTTAACTTCCTCGGAAAACAGACAAACAGACAAACCAACAAACCAGGATAGATGCACTATAAACAGGTAACCTGAGTCTGTTTCCCCTATTCACTCCAAAGTGGTAGTTGCTTGCTTCATCACTTTATCCTAGCTCTTAGCATTATCTAATAATAATCTTAAAATTATCTAATATAATTGCAGGCCAGCTACTCTTACTCAGTTTTGATCAGGTACCATATTGGTGGATCTATGTTTTATTATTACAGTATTACTTTTTAAAGTGTGTCTTGGCCACATCTGCACTGGCTACTTTCTGAGAGATCAAATTTATTGCAGATCAGCAGGAGAGTTCTGTTGTTGAAATAAATTTCTCTACACTGATTATCTGCCTTTCTCTGGCTCTAGCAAACCTTTCTTTCCTCAGTCATTGCTTTCTGTAGCACTATGTATTTATACATATATACTGTACTGGGGGAGGTTGTCCACTAGGTACCCTTGTCCTGAGTTGCTTCAATCTCTAAAAGTTGACAAAACCTAAACCCAGCTCAGTAGCTGACAATTGGCCAGTGCAGAACTTTCAACACCACCTGCACTAGGTCCAGCTTCTGAACCATGTGCAAAGTAGCCTCCCATTCAACATATTACAGTAATATAGACATTAATTTATCAGTGCATAGACCACCACAGCAAGGCTATTCCTATCCAGGAACAGTCATAGCTGGAGGACTATCCAGGAATAGTCATATCAACAGAAGTTGATAATGGGTGCTTGGAGCCATTAAGGTCACCTGGGCTCTCGTGACAATGGTGGATCTAGGAGCACCTCCAAACTATGCACCTACTGCTTCAGAGGACGTGCAGTCCCATCCGGGGCAGGTTCCCAACTTGGGAACTGCCCATCCATAGGAAATCTATTAATCATCATCATCATCATCTTCATCTTGCTGGAATTCAGTCACAATTTATAAGCCCTCATCAACCCATAACTGCATCCAGGCATCTTTTTTGGACGTGCACAGCCTCTCCTGATTCAGATGTTACAGAAAAACAAGTATACTGGTGACACTTCTCTCTGCACCTCCTAATGCTTGCCCCAGCAGCTTCATATAGATGTTAAATAGTTTTGTTTCTGTGGTACCCTCCAGATCAACTGCCAGGGGCCAAGGGAAGTCATATAGTATAATTCTTTGAAATCTATCCTGTAAGTTGAACTGAAACCACAGGAAAACTTTGCCCCCAGGATGATGCCCTAGTCAATGGTATCAAGTCACTGAAAGATCCAGGAAAAGGAGCAGGTTTGCACTTCCCATCTCTGTCTTTCTCTCCCTACTGAAGAAGGTCAGCCATCAGGATGGCCAAGACCAATTTTGTCCCAGAACCGGGCATGAACCCAGATTGGAATGGGTCAAGATAATCTATTTCATTTAAAAATGACTCTGTGTCTTCATGCTATTTCTCAACCTTTTTATTTTTCAATGGTCCCCAAGTGAAATAGGCCTCAGATGCGTGGGAGGAGCAGAGCAAAATACCCTTTGACTAATATATATTGATGTTTTCTGCTGATGACTGAGAAGCCTGTACATCCCTGCTCTTTTGACTTGATTTGATAATTAGATTCATTTAATCTTCTTTTGTCGTTCCTTTTTATTCTATCCATCTCCTTGCTCAGGATGGATTTGAGAGCTAGTCAGGGATCTCCTGACACAAGATACAGCCTGTTCTGGACTGAGCAACAATACAGCCCAGGAAGGTGAATTCCTCTAGAAGGGAAAAGAAGCAAGCATAGACACAGCGGGAATACCTAAAAATAAACAAATGGAAGATAGCTTGCTATGCCTCTCTACTTGAACTACACAATCTAAAAAGACAAGAAAAGAGCACAAAGCCCTTTGACATCTTTCTTCCTCTCTGTCTTCCCCAGCTAATGCAGGTTGTGAGTCTGTGCATGGATTGTATCACTGTGGTGTTATGTACGAGACATGCCACATTGTTGTACTAAATAAAGACCCATTAAAATCTCTTGGAGTGTGCAATTATTTAAATGGGATGTGGTTATACCCTAATTGTATCATAGCCTTATGTGGTTTACAATGCAGATAAGTAACTGAGTATAGATTGATCCTTATAATAGACCTATGGTCTCAGGTTCACTGTAGTGTAACTGAAGAGGTAATTGTTGTGTTGTGTGCCCTGGTCCATATATTTGGACAAACAACTTTCAATAAATAGAACTAAGTTTATAGTTCTCCTAGGCAGAAATTCAACTCACAACCAGTGCACAACCCATATTCTTATACATTGAAGAGCTGGTGTCCTAGGACCAATGTCAAGCCGAGTGGAAACCCATTATTGCAAGAGAAGTTGCCTCGGAGCAAGGATATAAGATCTCAGCATTTGAATGGCTACTGACTTCCATCTTGCCACCAACGCCATCGCTGACCACTAGAAAGTGAGAAAGTGCTGCCTGCTCTTAGTAGGCAGTGCCGCAAGCTAATTATAAATTTGATACTTGCTAATTCCCTACTGAGAGAAGGGCACAATGGAAATGCACATCTTTGTTTTTTCTTTGTAGCCCTTCAAAGAAAAGCATTTTAATAAAGTGTGTTTATTTATGAAAAGCTGATTTATTATTGCATGTGAAGGACAGCTGCTTTGAAATTTAACAACCACGGACACTGTGATATTGCCCCCATTTGAGATATGGGATGTTTGCCAGAGAGACTGCTGTAGTCACTCTTATTTCTAATGGTGGAGTTGAGCCAGTTCCTTCTAAGAGCAAAACTGGCACACCTAACAAGTTTTCTTCAGGAGACAGAAGTATCAAATGCAAGGCATCTTAGCTCCTTGTCATCACATTTCCTGAGTGTTTCTCTGCTCTGGATCCTTCCTAGGCATTAGTGACTGTTTAATGTGCTTTATTTACAGCATCTGCAACATGTGCGTTGAGCAACTGGTGTTGCCAAAGCACTAGAAAAGCTGCCTGAGATTAGCTGTTATTGCCATATCTTGCAGTTGAAACAAATGTCTCAGGGCCAAAATATGTGGGGCCCTGTCACTGTAGCTGCTGTGGGTATGAAACATAGGTTTCTTCCCTCTTTGGGTGCCCCTTTTTTGTTTCATTGCTAGCTCTGTCTACCCCACCCTCAGCTGTAGAAGATTATATAGGTAAAGGGTTTTTTAAAACGTAGTTTGTAGTTGAGATTCCTGGGGTGGACTAAATGATGCTTGGGACCCCTTGCATCAATTCTATGATTCCTCCATACGTTGCTTGTTTGTATGAAATCCAGATTCCTCATCAAATCTATGTGTGCAATTTAAATTAGCAGTTTGGCTTGTGTTGTATTATCCATATCTCCACATGCTGTACGAAAAACAGAGCCTTATTGATGAAGCAGCAGTGGCTAGTTTTTAACTGTGTTACACAGAGCAATCCAAACCCCTGATCTACTGTGCCGGAGAAAAAGAGCATGAGAACCTATATACTTTAGTATAGCTGGGAATAAAGGTTTTTTTAAACCACAATGACAACCCTACCTCATTGAGTTTAAGTATGCTGTTACCTAGCTTATTCCCAGGTCAATGGAGTAGTTGTGACTTCATCAGTGACAATTCATAGGCCTCAAAAAGTCAAATTAAGATCTGACTAGGGAGCAGTTCATAGTGTACCATATTCAGGAGGCCTAGGGTTGGATTTTGGCCTGAAAATGTCTCGGTGTGGGGGCTGAATTTCTTTTTTATATTATTATAAACCAAGGAAAAGGCAGAATGTCAACATAGCACTGGCTTCATCTCACATGGAGAACCATTTGATATCAAGTACGTATTTGGCCCTGACCTCTGCCCTTCTACCTAAACGTGCCTCGTAGCTATAACAAAAGACGCTTCCTCTAATGTGGAAGGAAAAGGTTATGATACAAGTGATAGAAATAAAAGTATTCTCTATAGGTTGTGTTTGTGTGAACATGTGAACTCATGGGGCACAGATCACCCTGTTCCCACCATTCTCCGTTCTCCCTAAGAAGCAACTCCAGCAATGTGTAACTTTCCCAGAAGAAAAAGCTTTTCTGTAGGACATGGAAATAGTTCTGCATCCAGATGTATCAGGCAGAACACAAATGTACTTGTGCTACAGACCACCGGTTGGTATCACCACCAGTTCACTTTTCAGGTCCTGGGATAAGTCAGTGTGGTGTAGTATTTGAGAGTATCCGACTAGGACTGAGGTTCAAATCCCAATTGGCATGAAGCTTACTGGGTGACATTTAGTCAGTCATTATCTTGCAACCTAACTTACTTCATTGGGTGGTTGTGAGCATTAAAACTCAGGACCATGCATGCCACCTTGAGCTCCTTGGAGAAAAATGTGGGCTGCAAATTAAGTCAATCGATAGAACAGACTATAAAACTGGACATGCCTCCTTGTTGAGGTAGATGGAGCAGTAGCTGGCAATTTTCTAAGTTATAGCCAAGCATTGCTATCCCAAGAAGACTTTTGGAGAACACAAGAGATGTGCACTGAGAATGTAGTATGGCCAGAAGCACTTGGGAAAGTAGCACTGCATGGGCAGCTAGTTCTGAAGTTCCTAGGTGGTTGTTAATACCCAGATGCCAGAGCACTTTCGGATACAGAAAAACTGTCATCTGTCAGAGGGCCTTCTGGCGGTTCCCTCACTGCGAGAAGCAAAGCTACAGGGAACCAGGCAGAGGGCCTTTTCAGTAGTGGCGCCCGCCCCGTGGAACGCCCTCCCATCAGATGTCAAAGAGATAAACAACTACCTGACGTTTAGAAGACATCTGAAGGCAGCCTTGTTCAGGGAAGTTTTTTAATGTGTAACATATTGATGTATTTTTAATCTTTGTTGGAAGCCGCCCAGAGTGGCTGGGGAAACCCAGCCAGATGGGCGGTGTACAAATTATTATTATTATTATTAAACACCAAATCAAGGTTTTGACATTATATCTGAACTGTTTTTGTCACACTCCCTTTTTTATTAAATGAACGTCTTAAAATGCCTTTGTGTCACTTACCATGTCTCTCATACAGTACCTCATACTGTTCTTTTTCTTTCCTCATGCTTCCATTAGTTTTGCACCTTAGTCACTTCTCCAACTTACTCTTTCTTGTAAGCTTCATGTTTGGATGTAGAGCACCTTGCATCATTTAGCGAAAATTAGTGTGGCATTATCTCTTATGCTTGCCTTAGCTTGGTCTTACCTGCTGCTACGAAGAGGTAGAATGTGTGTCACATTTTAAACAAGCTTCATATGCACCCCCTTTTCAGGCTTTCTAGTTGTCTTGATTCCTAGGTACAGCTGAAGTGTGTAGGCAACAGGAATACCACAGCCTAACTTAAATGAGAACTGGGACGTTTGCACATAGGCATCTATGTGAAAGTAGGTCCCACTGCCTGGTGTCTAGTACCAAAGCCGAAAAAAAAGTGAGGCCTGCTTGTGCATGCGCAAAACCCCCAGTCCTCATTAAAGTTATATGCACAGCACGGCTGAGGGAGAATGTGCAGATCCAAGGTTTGCTTCTGTATCGAACTGCGAGAAGACACTTTCCTGGCCACGCATGAGTCAACACTATATTGCACTGTAATCTGGTTCTGAGCATACTGCAAGAAATTAGGCAAAAGCAAGACAGTGCAGTGTTTTAACTACTCTTCAAAACTTCACTAGTCAGACAAGAAAAAAAAGATACTCCTACTTCCTATTCTGGTTTTGAGCAGGTCACTTTGAAGATTTTTGCCACTTTCATTATCTGTTATATTATTGATTCACATTTTTGTACTTTGTACCCTTATGCATTATATTATTTTGTTATGTCTTTAACCCCCAGTGTGACAAGGTCTAGCGCTGTTACCCTTGTTTACTGAGTCTTTAATCCCTCTCTCCACCCCCAATTGTCTTTCAGAGTTCCTGCTGGGGACTGTGCGGAAGGATGGCATCTGCAGAACCCCTGACTGCTTTCTCCCGTTGGTACCTCTATGCTATTCATGGTTACTTCTGTGAGGTGATGTTCACAGCTGCTTGGGAGTTTGTGGTCAATTTCAACTGGAAATTCCCAGGTGTCACTAGCGTATGGGCACTCTTCATCTATGGAACTTCCATCCTCATTGTAGAAAAGATGTACCTGTACCTGAAGGACAAGTGCAACATCCTAGTGCGCTGCCTGATTTACACCCTGTGGACGTATACTTGGGAGTTCACCACCGGCTTCATCCTGCGCCAGTTTGATGCCTGCCCTTGGGACTATTCACAGTTTGACTTGAACTTCATGGGCCTCATAACCCTGGAGTATGCCATTCCATGGTTCTGTGCAGCAGTCATCATGGAACAGTTAGTCATCAGGAACACCCTGCGTTTGCGATTTGATGAGAATGCTGAACCCGGGTCTCCTACCGCTGCTGTAACCTTGGCCAATGGCCATGTGAAAACTAACTGAACAGTAACTTCAAACTACACCTTGACTAAGTGAATTCTCCTGCCCCTTTCACTGGAGACTTTTGATGATGGCCTCAAAAACAAAACTCCTGCTTCCTGTATGATAAACAAACCTCCTGTGTTTGGAGGCATGCATGAAAAAGTGGAATCAGTAGGTTTTCTATGGAGTTTTGCTCTCTCTTTTTGTTTTTTTTAAAGCAACAAGTAGCACTGTCAGCTACCTGTTGGTGAGACAGTTTGACTTGTAACTTATTATGAGAACAGTCATAATACCTGCATTTTACTACATATGGGTGGGGGGGGATAAGAGTAATGCTCATCAACCTTGTACAAATAACAAGTTAGTAGATTGGCACAGACGCCCCATTTAACTTAGTGATTGGCTTATATCCCACTAGGCAATATTCAGGTGCTTGCTTGCAACCAGTACCTCCCAGGGGACCCGAGATGCTTCAGGGTCAAGGAAAACTCATTAGCTGTTGAGACAACCCAACAGTGGCAGTCAACTGGGGAGGTGGTTTGCCCTCTTGTGTGCTCCCTCCTAAGTTTTTTGTTTTTAAATGCACCACAGTGTATGATAATATGGTGCTGGACATCTTCCTGGATTTCTATAAAATTACTTTTTGACTCATCCATCCTGAGGCTCGCTAGAGACCTTCTCCCACTCCCAATAGTCTTTTTAAAAAATAAAATAAAAGTCTCTTCTGCTGGATTAATTATATCATTACTGTACAAGTTGCATTTTTGGCCAAGGAGCCCAAAACGGGAGAGAAATGGCTGAAGTCTTCCCTGCCTCCTATCCTTGTTCTTTGTAATAGAACTGAACAGAAGGGCTGCTTCAGCTCCGATTCGCCCCATAGTAACTGTTCACATTACCAGGATCCTCTCTGCCTTCCTCCCCTGAGAATTCTGTCACCAATGATACCACTGGCAATAATTGTGGACCATTGGCCCAGGTATTGAAGTCTCCGTGTGTCTCCTGGATTTATCGGGAATTAGAATTGTGCAAGACACTGTGCAGTGCTCATCTGCTTCTACAGATCTTCGGGAAGCTATGCCTGATGTTCTTCTCTATGTACTTAACAGTAGTATTAGGGGTGCAGTAATCTCTCTTCAGAAAGCTATGAGTCGCTGGAGGTGATATCCCACTGCTTTATGGTGGGGAGTGCTGAAAAGCCATTCTCCAGGATCTTCCAAATGGATTGTGACCAGTGTAGATAGGACGGCAGGCATTCTCGAACCACCTTCCCTAAGGTTGGCTCCCCAGAGATTGCTGAACCACAACCTCCATCATCTCCAGCCCACATGTCCAGTGGTCAGAGGTTATGGGGGTTGTAGTTCAACATCTGGGGGACCCGGAGTTGGAGAAGGCTGTTTCAGAGCCTGCAGAAAGTATGAAAGACCCAAGGACAGCTTAAATTAACAAAGCATCCAATAGCCTTAAGAGGAGGGTATGCTGTTACTAGACCTCCTGGGTAAAAATAAAGAAAGAACCAGGTATCATTTGCACTGAACGGAATTGAATTGCACTAGCAATGAGTTGAGCTTGGGATGTGAGTTTCTTTATGTGGCTGCAGTCTCATCTTCTGTGGTCTGTTTAGATGAGGCCTGCATTATTGTTTGACTGACCATTGACTGTTTTCTCCATCTGGCAGTCAGTTAACACAGCTGTTGTTTGTTCTGTTGAATTTCATTCTACCACCCAGGATGGGATCTGCATTGTTTTATGAATAAGAATAACTGTAACAGTATCTTGTCTTGTATTTTCGAAGTGTAATTAGTTTGTTCTTCCTAATTTTCGCTCAGGTGTGAATCCATTGCGGGCAATGGATCTGCTGGAGCACTGAAAGCAGAAGCTTATTCAGGTCTGCCCTGTTTTAGACATGTGTCTCCTGAAATACTCAGCAAACACACAGAGAGATTAGCGTTCCCGTTAATCATTCATCCATTATATATTGAATTAAATTGTGTTTCCTGTCTGAGGCAGTGCCATGCAACAACATGCTGCAATAATGGTCAGCTGAGTGGAAAATAAAATGGAGGAGCCATTTATTGGCTATGGAATCACAATCTTAATCCTTTTTTACAGTGCAATCCTATGCATGTCTCCTCAGAATTAAGCCCAGTTGAGTTTAATGGGGTTTATTCCCAGGGAAGGGGATATCAAATTCCAGCCTTAATTCATAATTGGATTTGCCATGAAAATAAGCATTATTCTTGGCATTCCACTTTTCTAACCTGCTGTCCTAAACCACAAAAGAGAAACAGCGAATCGGAAAGATACTGCATCTTGCTTTTCATGAAAAAGTTTTTAACAAACTAAAATTTATTTTCCTCCAAGTATTCTGGGATGGAGGGAATGGTGCAAATAGGAGATGGGCGACACTTGAATCTTCTGGTAACCACAGTTCAGAGCATTAGATAAGGCTGGACTAGTGGAATATCCTTGCTTTCACTAGTAGCCACTGACTGCTAACATCCGCTGCAACACTGGTTCCTTTACTAACATTACAAAAACAGTATAATGGAAGGCTTTTTTAATTTTAAAAAGGCAACATCATGGATCTATTTAGAATATGTAAGGTTGTGGTAGCAATATCTATCCCCTGAATTGGCCAGTAGCACAATCCCATGCTCCTTAGAGGGTCTATAATCCCATCCTAAATAACACATTTGTTTCACGGCTCACAAATTGTTATTTGCTTACACTGAAAAATGGCTTCTAGCCTCTTGCCTATGAACACCCCTTTAACTTGAGCTACATTTTCCCATGAGGCATCAGAACTACACCTCCTTGAGCTTATTTTATGCTATTTTATTTGGTTCGTACTGTGTAGATATGTCCCCAAGGGGCTATAATTTTCACACACAAGTGCACTTTATTCGCAGTTTGCACACCAGGAACTGAGCAGGGCATAAGTTCATATTTCCTCATGCAGCATTCACCAGACTACAACCCACAGACCATATGAGCTTTCCTTGATACTATTCTACAACATCTCAAAGTTACTGTATGTGTCAGGCCCTGCAGATCTCATTACTCTTTTTTTGAGAAAAGCAACTTGGTTGCAGTCAAGCGTTTTACCTCTTTTGCTTTATTTACATTCATTTTGTCCTTCAATTCTAGTGAAAACTACTGATGTTGTTTTACAGTTGGGTTGCTTAAACTACACAGCGATGGTGGCCTCATTGCTGAGAACTGTAGCCTAGAAGCTGCGCAGCAGGTAAAGCACTGGCAAATAAAACACCCACAGAACTCTCAGTTAAATATTTGCTTGTATGTGTATCCTCCTCAGTAGATTAAAGTTGCCTGTTTGAATTCACCAGCAATAAAAAAAACTTGTGGTTTGTTGGTTTTGCCCTCTCTACCTTGTAAGAAGAGGGTGGTTCATGCTTATGTCATTGGAAATGGGTTATAAATTTGCTCATGCACTGCATTATACTTGTGTTATGTTGCAGCTTTTCTTACAAAACAGTAAAGAACCCAAACTCAGCTGGTCTATTTCTAGGCATACCATTCATATTTATTTAGGTTATTCAGTGGTCATGTCATCTCCCACCAGCCCTAGCCAGTGTGACCAATGACCAAGGGTGATGGAAACTGGTCCAGCAATATCTGGAGGCTACAGGTTCTTCACCTCTGTTTTAGCCATTCAGATAGATAGCAAAAGAGCTCCAGCACCACACAGATAAGGGACAAATCTTGCAATGAACGCAAATGTGTGGCAAAATTAGAAAGGACATACTTAGTCTCTAAAATATGCTGTCTCTGTGCTTCAGGGCTCACTGGGGCTAATGTAGGAAGTGCCTCTGCAGTTCCACTGTGTATCTACACTGTGTACAACCAGGCTGGGAACCTGTTGGACTTCCATCAGCCCCAGTCAACATGGCCAGTGGTTAGGGATGATGGGAATTGTGGTCCAACAGGAGGGCCACATCCCCATCCCTGATATACAAGCTTCCTAAAGCAAGTCATCTTGGAAGCACTTTGTCAGCACTTATCTTCTACTTCTGTACTACTGTGCTCAGATTTGTGTATGTGTGTGTTTCTTTTTGGTTATTCCAGATAGGCACACTTGGATCTTCTTTAGAGTCCCCCACCCCCGCCATTCTCTACCTTCTATGTAGAGGGGTGAATAGTGGGTAAAAAGCAATTTCCCCTCAATACAGTTCCTATATATAGCAAAGAAAGCCCTGACAATAGAATTTACTTTCTTTTCTGTATTATTTTAGCAGAACATATCTGGAACATTGCAACTTTCAATTGAGCTGAAGCAATTTATCTGTTTATAGTATGCCTGAACTTCCAGACAAAGTCAAAACATTTTGAGTGGAACACAAGCATGTAATTAAAATTGCTTTCAGATCATTGATCTTCTATAGACACTGCAGAATAGTCAAACCTGCTTTGTTCATTAGGTGTATATGCAACCTACCCAACACAGGGTCCTAAACCTTATTTATCTTGAAGCCTTTTGGTCATTGTAACAAGCTGCTTTTCTGATGTTAAATTTTGATTTCCAAACATGCGGTCTACAAGTGCAGGTTCTAATTTTGAAGTCCCCACATAGCTATCAAGTTAAGACAAAAGACCCTGATCCAACTAAAGTTAGTCATGACTAAGTCCCACTGAACTGACGGAGCAAGTTAAGTCACAGCAACCTTGAAGTCCGTTTTTTTATATATTTAGAGATGCTTTGACCTGTTGCTTTGACCATATTTAGAGATGCTTTGACCATAGCATTCTTGCTATGCAGTTGAAGCTGATACTGTGATGAAAAGAAGCACAAAACATCATAGCTAGTAGCAAAAACAAATTATTCATGAATAATTACATCTATGATTCCATAAAGGGGGGGGGGTAGGTGAAATATTAGGAAACACAGGAGACTGCTTCCCACACAATGACTGGGAATCACAGGAGTGTCCTTGATTGTTCATCTAAAATGAAAATGTAGAAAGAGTATGTCTACTTGAACGAAGGAGAAGGTAAACCTTCTGGCCCATGTGAAACTTAACATACCTGCAAACTATCTCAAAAGGATACATAAGCACACCTATAAGGGTCATATATTTATATATTTTTTCCACAATATGGTTCTAAACATGGAAGTTACTAACTTGCATAGGACCCAGCAGCAGTGTAGGTGCTGTAGCAAGGTTTTCTTTAATAACTAAAAGCTTGTCACAGAGAAGACGGACAATGTTATGTGGAAGGAAGGACTGAAGCAATGGATTCCTAGCACAGTATATTTACAGTATATTTATTGAATGCTGGGGGGGGGGGGGGGCAAAGGAAGAACACCTCTCAACTGTTCTAGGGGATCCTCCCAGAGCAGCAAATTGGATCTGATGACCTTTGAGATACCTTTCATGCCCATTCAGTAGTAAGTCGATTGAGACCTATGGTGCTTACTACCTGGTAAGTGGGCATAAGATTGTAGCCTAAATTTGCAAAACTGAATGCAAATACTTAAACTAAGGTTAGTGTCACAGTCATTCATTCCTTTATTTGTTGCTTTATAACTCACTATCTACCCAAGGGACTTTGGTGAATTAAAAATATGCTAATATTTGTTAGTATCCCACCCTATCCCCACATATCCCTACCAAAAACTACAGTAGCTGACTAAAAGCACCTTGCACTGTTTCAATGTAAGTTGCTTCCTAGTTTTTGCACAGTGAACTGAGTCAAATATTTCTGAATGCCAAATTGGAAAGCATTTGAGAGTCAGGAAGAACCCTATGTTACATGGATGTCCAGTGCTGGAATAATTATTTTGAAAAAAGAGGCATCCCATTGTCAGGCTTTAAATAACTATTCTGGAGAATGAAGCATTCTAGTTTAAGAGCACCCTTTGAGATTCCCCAGTGAATGGTTATTCATCATGTTATGTAGTATAGTGGATCAAAGTGGTTCCTAGCCAAATCTCATTTCTGCCAGGAACACAGTAAATGGCTTTAGGTAGACTACTATCATACTGGGCAGACCATCTACAGTGGGGGGATAATAACACTGACCTATTGCTGGAAGGATTACTGATGTAATGCATGCAAAGTCCTTCTGAATACTCTTAAGTGCTATGCCTATGTTCAATAGTAGATTATAAGTATTGAATACTGGTCTACAATATGACCTATTCATTTTCATTCATTCATTTTATTATATTTTTTCCACTTATGCAGCCATTTATTCATTATTCGTTTTCTGCTGACAAAGCACACATAGTTTCAGGATGAAAGGGAGTTTTTAGAGCAGCTTTCACCAATCTGTTGCTGCAATGGCTGGGGCTGATAGAAGTTATGGTCCAAAACAGTTGGAGGGCAACAACTTGTCAGCAGCAGTTTGAGAGTTAAAAACATGCTTGTTGTGAATCCACCTTTTCATGAATCCACTATTTCATATTAAAGACCAATAGCCCAATCCTATGCATACCTAGCTGAAAACTAATCACATCTGAGTCCAGTGAAATGTTCTTCTCAGTGTATAAGGCTAGGTTGCATTTGGAGAAGAATTTTGTTCTAGGTGCCATCTACAACTTCCAATCAGTCTAACTGTTCAATTTTTGTATGGTATTTACTTGTGAGTCACTCTATAACATATGTTCTCTGCACAACAAATAAGTAAACCAACCATTTAAGAGAAATCCTAAAATGCAATAAAATAAACACAGTACTAAAAGCCAACAAATGAAAGCATCACAATACAAATTCTAATAATATCAACTAACAAAGCAAGCATGATAATAGTCTCAGCTGGCAGAGCATGAGAGTATTAATTTCAGGGTTGTGGGTTCAAGCCCCACAGTGGGCAAAAGATTCCTGCATTGCAGGGTACTGGACTCAATGACCTTTGTGGTCTCTTCCAACCCTATAATTCTATGGTTGTAAGTATCTTACTGTTTGAGATATTCCAGGACATTAGATTTCATTGTTCCGGGACAATTGTTTTTCTGTCAATAACTCAAGAAGGAACCAGTCTGGACCACCAACACAGGAAATCTGTGTATTTTCAACAACAACTCCAGCAGTATGGAGGATACCAGTTATGTGTGTGTTTCTTGTCTTTTTGTCATATATATATATATATATATATATATATATATGCATGCCAGGGATACCCAGTTTTTCAGCCTTACTTGCATAAACGCAGGTTTAGATATACCTCTGCTGCTGCCTTTACTCCTGCCATCCAGTCCAGCTGCCATGGACAATCTGCTTCTATGCCCCAAAGTTTCTCTAGTTCTTGTTTTGGTGGCTTGGACAGTTTAGTTCACACTTGAGTAATCTCCCTCTAGTAAGATCTTTATACAGGGTAGCTTTGCAGATCAACTCAGTCACTAGTAGGGATGGAAGGATTTGTTAATTTTGCTTTTCTTTTTTTCAGTCTTAAATCCAGTTCTCCACATTTTGCAGCAACTTGTGACTTTTTGAATACATGTGAATTTTTGGACAAGTGTGATTTTAAAGAAAGGCTGTGCTTTGTTCACATATTGTTTCAGAAGGTGCAGATTTGATAAATGCAGCTTTATATCTAAACTGATTTGAAATAATATCCAGACCTTAGCTTTATACTTTTTCTCTCGGCTTTTCCTCATACCTCTGTCATCAATTTTTTCTCTCTTCCAACTCCTCAGGGTACAGCTAATTTAAAACTGACTGGAATCTTCAGCCAATCAGAGACTGCTGTTCCCCAGGCCAATCAGACTGAACTCATCTGATCTAGGCCTTGCCTAAGAAAACCTTAAAGTCTTTGTCAGAACTTGTCCCAAAAAAACTACTGCTACACAGGCAACCTCACAGTGGTACAAGGTCTTGAAAGCCTATTTATATGCTGTCCACCTGAGTGGGTTGCCACAGTCACTCTGGGCAGCTTCCAACAAATAATAAAACTACAGTAAAACACCAAACGTTAAAAACTTCCCTATAAACCTATGCAGCATTTCTCAATAGTATACCAGATGATGATCTTAAGCAAGTGTGAAATGTTCATTTAAATTCTGCAGAACAAAATTTTCATTTCACGCATTTGGATTGTGAATACAACAAGGTTCATTAAAATAAAAGCAAAGTTGTACATTTAATTAATCATAAAATCATTGAAGTGGGTAACTCGCCTGACTTCAATAAACTATGTACTCTTGGAATTGAGAAATGGGCACATAACCTAAGTTTACTGAGGCCAAATTTATAATTCCTTTTCGCATCCTTTGATGAATGGCAGAACAATCCAAAACCCCTTTGCACTGGACTGGGCTGTATGTGATCAGAAAATTTAGTGTTCAGAAAACGGATCTTGCTTACAGGAAGTGAAAGAGAAAAGGAGTATAATTCTGGAAAAAATAACTTTTGGTTCTGGGAAAGGATCAGGAACTTCCCAAATATGGGGGCAGGTGTGCCACAATTTCTTGTTCCAGCCCAATTAGCAAAATGCATTGGACCAGCACTGGGGGGAGCCATTGGTATATATATCCCCTCCTACAAAAAAAGCTTTGTTTGCACAAATAAAACTACTGGTACCATACTTAAGCCTCAAAACAACAGGATCTTACTAATGAGTAGCGGGAGTATACTCAACAGTACCTGTTTTAAATGCAGCATGGGATACACAGTGCTTCTGGAATTTAGCCACAAGATGCTTTAATTTAATTTCTGACACAATCTTAAATATGGTGGACAGTTTTTGAACTGAGAATTGTCAAATTGCAAGCCAGTTATCATGCCTTTTCCAAGTCTTCCTTTTAAAAGTTCCAAGCCAGTAGAATATGCAGCCACTACCCATTCTCCTTTGCTCACTTTTCTCCTCACCCACCGCAAGGGGGGAAACTACAGTTCTGCTTGTTGCAGCCATGAGACAGGAGGGAGAGCAAGCAGACTGGTACAGGAACATGGCAGAAAGTATAATGGTTGCATACTTTGCCACAGTCTTAGAACATGTAGGAAAAAGCAGTACCTTCAGGATGCCATATAGCAACAATATTTAGTTGACATATAACATATTCGGACCCAGATTGGGCCAAAGAACCTCATGGTTAGAGGCCATTGAGCTTGACCTGGGAGCCCTGTAGAACTGGCACTGGCTCCCTACCGATTGAGCAACAGAGGCTACTGGTCAAAGGGAGAAACTGTAGGCAATTTCAATCAGGCAACTCTCATAACAGCCCATAATCTTCCTGGCCCGGGAAGCCAAATGATATTTCAGGGCTCAGATATACAACATTTTGTTGTAAGTGTTGGCAATACCTTGTTGGATAATATGAAAGACTCAAGTGTTCACATGGCTAATGTTGAGCAACATCCTATCTTGACGGCAGTCTGTGAGGAAAACTGTGGTGATGCAGGAGTGAACTTTGATATCAGAGCTGTCATAACTGTGTAGATTGCCCTCCAGCTAGCTGTGGAATCTCAGGGGTTGTCATGGTTAGACTATGGTGTATGTTGGCTGCCTTGTCAACATGGTTACTGGGGACAGAACAATTATGCTGTCATGCTGCTTGCACCAGTGTTTCAGCAATTTTCCCAATCTCTTTTTCAGTGTCCTATTGGATGAGCATAGGATCACAACTATTTTATGCCACTGTCAGCCCTGGCATAATGCTCAACGTTCTGCCTCTGATCATAGGATAGGTCCACTTGCCTTTCTCCCTCTGATGACCTCACTTTTCCAGCCTTCTCTTTTGGCCAAGCCTGGAAGAAGCATCTTTTTCTGTGAACAGCAAACCTGAACACAATGCTGTTCTTGTACTTGCTCCATTACCGAACCAGATGATCAACTTTAGTGGAACCTATAATTAGACTAAAAATTCTGCTTCCATCTTTTAATTTTTTTCTCCCCATGGAAGAACTATCACATTCAAAATGCACTGGGAATTTTGCTTTGCAATTGAACTCTGTCTGCACCTGTTTGGCTTCTGCATTCAACATCCATCTCCTCTTTCAAGTAATGCAAGGCAGTAGCTATGATGGGACCAGCACTGATGGGCACATATGCTTTTACATTTGTGGATTTTTACTTCTTCCATTAAAAAATGTCAGCTTGTTTTTAAAACAGAAACATTTTAAACCTTAGTCACAAGTGGACTACCCCTCTCTGCCCCTTCCAAGTGACCAGGAGGTCTGGCACAGTTCCTCAAAAAGGGCCCCCCCTTCCCCCCCCGCAAAGGAGCACATGAAATAATAAAAAAGACTTATTCAGTTAAAATGGTTTTTTAAAAATCATTTGTATAATTCATGTAGCTAGAGAAGAGAAGCATGTTGTGGGCAGAGGCAAGTGGACTTCTGGTGCAATTGCGCCAAGCTACTTCTGACCCCCAGCCCACTCAGAAGTGATGTTCCAAGCTCCATCTGCTTGTTCATCTATCTCTTCCCATCCAACAGTCCCCCTGGACCAGGGCCGTTTTTTCAAGATCATAATAATCTTTGCCATACTTAGATCATTCAGAAAGAGGAATGACACTTTTGCAAGGCCGGCCTGTCCATGAGGCAGACTGAGGCAGTTGCCTCAGGCAATAGATTCCAAGAGGAGCCCTTGTGGGTGCCCCCTCCCCTGCCACTGGAGAAGCAAGAACTGGATGCTGCGGCTTCCAGGTTCCGTCATGTTCTTGCAGGGCTCTAGCTGGAACCTGGAAGCCACAGCTGCACGATCCCAGTAAGCAAGACTTCCATGGCGGCAGCAATGGCGGCGGGGAGCAGGAAGCAGCCTGTGTTGTTCACACAGCGCGGCACCTTCCTGTTTTGCCTCAGTCAGCGAAATGGGACCACGAGCACAGCAGGATGCTTAAAGGGTACAAGGGATAACTTAAGGAAATCACTATTTAAGGTACTGAGTAAGTGCATTTTTAAATTGACATTCCTTTTTGACACTAACAATTCATAGATTCTAAAATACACATAGGCACTTGAGCTTTACAAATTTTTAAAAAGTGTGTAGAAATAATAGAAGACACTGATTTTTTTCCATTTTTTGTTTTGGAGTCTCACCTAGAAATGGAGGTGTCCCACTGAAACAGACTGGCTATAGTCAGGTGCTGGTAATTCTCCTCATCAAGTACCACAACCACATGGAGTCCTTGTGTTGCCCCTGGCAACAGGGCCTGGTTCCTTCATGGCTTGATTGCCAGCCAACAGTACTGCTTCATCAGAGACAATGGAGGAAGACTTGTTCCAGCACTCATGGGAATGATGGTCCCAACTTATACAGTTATGGCCCACAGCCATCCTACTTTATGTGTTTGTGCATATGTGTATAATTTGAAACAAGCCTACCGCAAATCCTTGTCTCTGTGATGAGTTCATATGAGATGCTTTATCTCACACTCTACAATTGAACACCCCTAACACTAGCAGATATGATACTTAGCTATTGTGGGAGTCATAAAGCCACGGTAAAGGCTTGTAATATTGCAGGGTGCCCCCTGACCTCGGCTGACCAGCACTCTGAGCTTTACAATGTATTGGAATGTATTGACTTAAATGGAGTTGTGTTTCCTCTGGGCAGTGATGACCCTATATGGTGATGGGGGCAATAAAAGCCTTGACCGGATGAGGTAACGTAAGACATTGGCAAACGGCCATGCGGCTGGAGAGAGACAAAGGATAATAAAGAAGCTACAGGAGGAGAGGGAAGTTCGAAAGGAGCTGCTCATACCATCATGAAAATATTGCTGGCTCTCTGTGTCTTTATTTTATGCTAAACTGCGCCATTTGTAACGGCTGGCTCCGACAAGTGGTGCCCCATGTGAGGCAGAATAAAAGAATACGTCTGAGGCTTTTAAAAGAAAACCGTGTGAGGCAACTTAAAGAAAACAGTCTGAGGCAGACTAAGAGGATTTTAAAAGAAAACCGTGTGAGGTTTTTCGATCCAAGCAAAGGATATCATTGGCTCACCACGCCCGGCAAGGGTTGCATAGCGCTAATCATCTAAAAAAGATCCCGGTGAGTTTCGATCCCTTTTTTTTATCTTGATTTTAGAAAAATGGGCAGCTCTTTGTCTACTCCCCAACAGAAATTTTTAAAAGACTTAAAATTTCTCCTCTCCTCCAACAAATTGGAAGTTCCGGAGGGTGATTTAATACAGCTCATTCTGGCCATCGAAGAGCATTCCCCCTGGTTTCCTGCAGATGGGACTTGGGAATTAAAACTTTGGGACAAGATCGGGGAACATTTTCATGGGCACCCCAGCATAGGTGTTCGGATTCTAAATGCATGGTGCAAGGTTCGTTACGCCATGGGCTCTTTATCACCAAAAAATATCTCCATGGCTGCATTGCCAACACAACCTCCAGCTTCTTTAATTCAGCCTGCTGTGCTGCCATCTGTTCCAATACCTGCTTTGCCAGCAGCTCCAGACCCCAAACCTCCGGACTACAGTTCCTCACCAGAGGACCCAATCCTGCAAAAATACCGTGGTCTGGCTGGCAATGATCCTGCTCTTTCAGCGGCAGAACCAGAACCAGAACCTTTTCAACGTGCAGTCCTTGCCTGTTCCTTAATTCAGGATACTATGGCATTCCCTGTTATTGTGCCCCCTGCTGGTGCCCCGGCAGGCACCCAAGCCCAACACCAACCTTTTGACTTTAAGATTTTGAAAGAGCTGCAACAGTCAGTAAAGGCCAATGGACTCCAAGCCCCATATACGCAGGCGCTTTTAGAAGCCACATTAGCCCAGCTCTTGGTTCCAGAGGACATCAAGCTTTTGGCCCATACAGTGTTACCCCCATCAGCTGGTGTTTTGTTTGCCCACGAATGGGAAACTGCCTGCCGTGCTTATGCTCCAGCCTTGTTACAACAAGTCAGAGGAAATAATCCAAATGTTACCCTCGCAGACGTCACAGATGCCATGATGGGGCGTGGTCCCTTCGCTCAAGCTTCAGTGCAAGCCACACTGCTGCAAATCTTATTGAGGGACACTGCTCTTGCTGCTAAACAAGCAATGAGAAAAATCCCAGAACCCACCAGTATTCAGTCAAGGTGGGGTTCGATCAGGCCAGAGGCAAGAGAATCATATTCTTCCTTTATGGACAGGCTGCTTACAGCAGTGAGTCGCCAAATTGAAAATCCTGAAGCCAAACAAATAATTATCAAACAATTGGCCTTTGAAAATGCCAATGAGGATTGTAAACTTGCGTTACGACCGATAATACACAATCCTGACACAGACACAGCAGCCATGCTTCGCATTTGTCAGTCTGTCGGTACAGCCAGCCACAAGGCTTATCTGCTGGCAGCAGCGCTAAATGAAAACCAGCCTGTAGCCACCGATACAACTTGTTTCCAGTGTGGCAAACCAGGATCACCGATACCCCAGTGGGGGTGGAACAGTGGCCTCTACCAAAAGAAAAATCCGCAGCAAGCGGCACCAGCTTAGTTCTGAACAGCTTATTTCTGAACAATTGACTTTCAGCCACATTGAACCATCTTCATCCCACTGGCTCCAGCAGACAGGGAACGGTTTGCTTTTACATTGCCAGCATATAACAATTCGCAGCCCACCCAGCGATATCAGTGGGTTGTCCTGCCTCAAGGCATGCGGAACTCCCCTACACTTTGTCAACATTTTGTGGGTGAAGCATTGAAACCTTTCCGCATACGCCACCTAGAGGTGCTGCACACAAGCTGCATTTGGCAGTGTTTGCCTTCCTAACCATTTGCCTTGCCATCCTTTGCTGCACCGTTATACAAGGAAGAGAAGCAGACGACCAGTCCAGTTGAAACCACCATATTTCACCTCATCGGCTGGCAAGCAGCTGTCGCCAGAATCCTACTCTGGCTGGCAGTATCCACGGCTCAGCCACTTTCGAACTAGAAGAACAGCGTTGTTGAATAAGACTTTTAGGGGAGAAAATTATCATAAGATATGGAGGGATAATATTTTTGTACAAGATATGATTATGTTTGCCAGTTTATTGCATGCTTCTAAATGTTGGGGTGTGTATGCCAGTCATTCAGGCATAATGCTTCATGGTGTGCCTATCAATGGATCTTTTCAATTTACTAATATTATATCCCCTAAGCAAACTTTTTGGCCTCCAGTACAATTGACCCTCCATGAGCCTGCCCCCATTTGTTTTCAAATTAAAGAGGGGAAAGAATCATGGGGCATATATCCAAACTGTCAATATACATTGAATTTCACTTTTAATAGCTCTTGTTCTCTTACAGGAACATACAGTGACCAATCTCAGTGCTATAGGAGTGACACCAGTGCATGGCTAATAAACTAGAAAGGAAGCCTACCAGGCAGCTTGGAATCAGAATTCTTATATTCTTGGCTCCCAGATGGGAGTTGGCTTCGACATTTATTGATTTTAGTGATTATTATAGTAGTTATTTGCATTATTTTGTGTTGCTGTATCCAATGTATTCCTTCCTTAATCTCTATATGTACTGCATGGTTCTCACAAGGGTCGCCTATCGCGCTCGATATAACCGTATTGGTACTGGCATATATGGCTCTGAAATAAAATAAAGAAAGAGGGCATGTGGGAGTCATAAAGCCACGGTAAAGGCTTGTAATATTGCAGGGTGCCCCCTGACCTCGGCTGACCAGCACTCTGAGCTTTACAATGTATTGGAATGTATTGACTTAAATGGAGTTGTGTTTCCTCTGGGCAGTGATGACCCTATATGGTGATGGGGGCAATAAAAGCTTTGACCGGATGAGGTAACGTGAGACATTGGCAAACGGCCATGCGGCTGGAGAGAGACAAAGGATAATAAAGAAGCTACAGGAGGAGAGGGAAGTTCGAAAGGAGCTGCTCATACCATCATGAAAATATTGCTGGCTCTCTGTGTCTTTATTTTATGCTAAACTGCGCCATTTGTAACGGCTGGCTCCGACAAGCTATTCTCCTAACAAATTATTTAATATAGTCACGGGTACATTGAGGATGAAACAAGGAGATACATGCCAGAAACACACAATTATAGATAGACCTGGGAGGAAACAAAAGGCCGCCTAGTTCATTTCCCTTGCTGCAATGCAGCGTAAGCCAGTCACCCACACAAAGAACAGGCCACCCAATCTAAGCCCAATTTGCTGCATAGAACAGGTGCCACCACCGAAACACATCAGCTAAACAAATAGCTCAAAAGACATTTTACTAAACAGGAGGTTCAAAGCACCTCTTCCTTCAATGACTTTGTGAAGCAAATGCAAAATCCACATTGATCAGAATGTTCATTTGTATTACAAGTTCCTGTTCTCTGTTTTCTCTTCTGCATGAACAGCTTTTCAGAATAATAGCATGGGAAAGGCTTGAAAGCACTTGAAGCCTAGTTTGTGAAAATGCTCTAACATCTTTAGAACATTACAGCTATGACCCCCAAAACCTTTACTAGAAAAGAAGTTTCTCAAACAACTCTACCTAAATGACATAGATTACTGCTCCTAAGAGGAAGGGATTTACTATTGAGTGTGTGTGTGTGTGTGTGTGTGTGTGTGTGTGTGTATTATTATTAACAGTTTAGGACCTGACTGAAAGCAAAGCCCTACCTACCTGTGTCACATAAGACACAGAAGTGTTTAGTGCTTTAGTAGAAGCTCAACATATAAAACAAAACAACCCATTGCTATCTGTGGTCATCATACATGTAGTTAAATATGGCATCCTCCTTTTTTATACTCCCATAATTACCAGATGCAGCCATTCCAGTTACTCTGAAAGGTGAGCTCTGCTCAGCTGATTAATTTGGTCAGACAGTTCTAAGAAATCTCTTTCTCTCTCTTTTTAATATTCTAGTTCAGGCTTTCCCAGACTGGTGGCCTCAAGATGATTTGGACTACAACTCCTATCATCCCTGATTATTGGCCACATTGGCAAGGTCTGATGTGTGCTTTAGCTGGAAGGTACTAGGTTGGGGAAGGCTGTTCTAGTCTGTCTGACCTCTCTTGAAGCTATATAACTTGTAAAGCACATTCCAGTTTCCTCTGTTTTTATTTATGTTGGAAACAGCCCAGAGTGCCTGGGGCAACTCAGTAAGATGTGTGGGGTATAAATAGTAGAATTATCATTATGGAATGGGATGTCCCTATTTTCACTGGATAAATGTTGGAGGGTATGAGACTGCAATTCCCAGTGGGCAGAAAGATTTGCTGGTGATGCTGTGTGATCTCTGTAAATTCAGCTCTATTTTCCATCTGTTGTGTGCCATTACTTTCAAAGGACCAAGAAAAGAGGTGAGATGGCTGCTGGGTGCCACAAAAACATCAAAGATACAGTTCTGAATGCATGATGAAAAGAACCTTGTGGGAGCAATAGAGAAGTGCTAGGTTAGGTGTGGGGAATTTTTTTGGGGTGAGGGTGTAAGTGAACATTCCTTTCAGACTGGGTTATTATTGGGGGGCATGGCCACAAAGGAAAGAAGATGGCTGCTTAAACTCTAAGCTCTGCTCTAAGGCTCAGAAAAACAGCTTGGAGCAGGGATGCCAACTTGCCCCTCACATTAATGTGGGACACAGGTGAGAAGGGTAAGAGATCAATCAGGGGCAGCTTTGGTTCTGCATGGAACACTGAGTAAAATATTTCTGTTTGAGAAGGGATGCTTTAATTTTCGTATTGAAGGGTTTTCAACCAGAATAGACCTTTCTGCTAAGCCATCAGGCAGTTTTCTCTACACCTCATTCCACCAACTGTAAAAAGGGAGTTATAGAGACATATCATTTGAGTATGAGTTGTAGGATATGACAGTTACTGGTATTTCAGTTCAAAGTTCACAGTAAGACAAAATGTGAGAGGATTCCTCTGAAAGTCTGAGACAGTGGGGAGCCTGTGCCAGCCAGAGCAAACATTATGGAAGTTTCTTATACATGAATAGGTTAAAAATTGTGTGATGAAAAAACGAAGGCATACTCCAATGGGCAACCTAACCGGCTCTGGGTACTTGCAAAATAAAATTTTAAAAGTCAATTTATTCTATAATAATAATAATAATAATAATAATAATAATAATAATAATATACCCCGCCCATCTGGCTGGGTTTCCCCAGCCACTCTGGGTGGCTCCCAACCCAATGTTAAAAACACAATACAGCATCAAACATTAAAAACTTCCCTAAACAGGGCTGCCTTCAGATGTCTTTTAAAAGTAAGATAGTTGCTTATTTCCTTGACATCTGATGGGAGGGCATTCCACAGGGCAGGCGCCACTACTGAGAAGGCCCTCTGCCTGGTTCCCTGTAACTTCACTTCTCGCAGTGAGGGAACTGCCAGAAGGCCCTCAGAGCTGGACCTATTGACTACAGTGGCAGGAGCAACACAAATGTGGCTGAAAGTCAGATGTTTTCAACTGAGGAGATAGTTGCCAGCAAGTGTTAAAGAGTGCTTTGGTGCTAACTTGCACCCTGAAGTTCTCTATTAGTAACATGAATAATATTGGAATAGTAAACCTGTGCAAATGTCAGAGTACTACTTGCCTAGATGTAGTAAATATTATTAGATAATCTATGGAATGTTATGTCTCGGAAAAGCTGTTTGGATAGTGTTTACTTTTTGTTTTTAGTGTTTTGTTATAGTGTTTTGTTTTTTAACAAGGAAATCTAAAATCAAGAATACACTGATATGCAGTATTCCAGTCAAAGACTGGAAGCCAAGAAAGCTATTCACAATGTATTAAAGGAAAATAACATTATGGAACTGTGCAGGAAGTCCATGCATCAGCATGTACTTTTTCAGCACCTGTCCTCCTGTTTGCTAGCAGCAGCATTATAACAGTGCCCATAAATGGTACAGGAGTCAATAAAGGACAACAAGGTTATCTCAGTAGAATATTCCATAGGAAGAGCAGAGCTGCAAAAATTTATTTCAACACCCACTATTTTCTTGAAACTCGTGGAGTTGCAACAAGTGCACTTCAGTAGTGACCATGCACATGCTTTTCTCTATAGACATTGGCTGCATTCGCACATAATAAATCAAGGACTTTGGCTTAATAAATAACATCCTGAATCCTGTTTTGTGCCTCCCTTCACACAAGCAGGCACAAAACAACAACAACACAAAACAATGAGATCAGAGTTATGTTTTAATATGAGATTGTGGATTATTTCCTTATAAAAAGCAAATATCACTAGCCAGCCTTGGCTAACAAATCTTGGCTTGTTAGGGAGAAATAAACCACGACCCTGGGTTCAGTTGTAACACTAAGCTATCCCATTCCAGGACTCAGCTATACAGCTGCAAATAAAATGTTTTAAGTGTGTTGTGAAGTGCATTATACCTTACACTAGATGGTGATGGTGAGCTATGGCAAAGTCAATATATTTTTCAAAATGTTTTTAAAAAAAGCATTTTCACATTGTTTCTTATATGTGTCTAGATTCCATCCTGGTTTGTTTACCCTGCTGCACGAAGGGAGGAGCTAAATGGG